GTCTGCGATCCATTTCAGGTGAATTTTGCAGACTGTGTAAGGCACAGGTTGAGGATCACTGTACTCTGCATTTCTAGTCCTGGCAGTCCCCCTGCCCTGGCCCTTGGCTGGACACATGTGTCTGTGGTAGAGGTCCATTCCTGGGCTCCCCACTCCCTTGACCTGTGTGTCCATCCCAGACTGGCACTGTTGGATGGGCCTGGCAGTGTTGTAGAAGTTTTGAAATGAGGTGCTATTGCCCCTAGTACTTCATTGAAGTCATTAGGACTTTTGTATTGTGGTAAAAACACAATGTGGCCTTGAGCATCTCAGTTATCTTGAGTACACAGCACGTGAGTGTTGACTTTGTGCATCTCGTTGTTCCAGAGGGACTTTCTATCTTGCCAAACTGAGACTTTGCTGGAGGGTGACTTCTTTGCGCCTAGCCTCTGGTGCCTGCATTTGCTCCTAGTCTCCAACTTGGCTGCTTCAGGTGTCTCTCAGAAGAATGCAGTATGCGTCCTTTTGTGACTGAAATGCTTAGCACCATGGCCCTAAGTTCATCCATAATGTAGCATGCAGCAGGATTTCCTGTTTTAAGACTGAGTAATATTCCTGGGTATTGCCCTCTTTGAGTCGCACCTCTCTCCTGGGCGTCGAGATTGCTCCCCTGCTGGCCGGTGAGTGCTGCTGTGGTGCGCCTGGTGTTCAGACAGCTTTTGGCCCTGCCTGCAGTGCTGGTGCAAGCCCAGCAGTGGGGCTGCTGTGGTTGCCTCCAGCATAGCTGTGCTTTTATGCGCCCACCCGCAGTGCCCCACCAATGCCTGCCTTCTGGTCTTCTTGGTAACAGCCACCCTAATAGGTACAAGGTGATACTTCCTTGTGGTTTCTGCTTGCATTTCCATGGTGATCAGTGAGGATACTGAGCATCTTTTCATGTGCTGTGTACTGTTTGTTTGTTTTTGAGACAGGATCTCTTAATGTAGCCCAGGCTGACCTTGAACTTACAGGGATCCTCCTGCCTCATCCTCCCAGTGCTGGGATTACAAGTGTGTATCACCACACCTGGTGCATCATGTCATCTTTAAACAAAAGTCTGTCCAAAGCCTTTGCCTGCATTTTTAGCTGATGGTGCTTTGCTGTTGAGTTACAGGTAATTTTGTGTGGTCTGTGTGGAAACTCCTTGTCAGATATGTGATTTGCACATTGTCTCTCTGAGGTTGCGTTTTACTCTGCTGGATGTTTCCTGCTGCAAGATGTTTGTATGTTCGAGGTAGTCCCATGTGTCTGTTGTTAGAAAATACTTACATTTTCCGTTTTTCCTGGTTCTCCATAGATCTGCTAAACGTACAGCCATGTTACCCGTTTCCACATAGGGAGGCGCTGCGATGTGTTGGTTTCTCCTTCAGTACTTCTCCTGTTTTACATACTTGTTGCTGTGCCTCACAGAGCCTGGTCTCTGTGCTTATGAAACCCTCAGTCCTGTGTTCTCAAGGTATCATTTTGTCCTTGTTCGTGCATGGTGATTTGGCTGGGATTAGAGCCTTCAGCATTTCTGAAATTCCTCTTGTTCATTATCAAATGCCCTCCGGGAAGGAGCTGTTGGCTTTGTCAGGCTGGGACAGTCTGGGACCATTGAGGGGAGAGTGTTTAAGTCAGGGTAGTGTCCTGTGCTGGGTCCCTAGGGAACAGAGGAGGGTGGGCTGCTTCCCAGGCTGCCCTGTTTCCTTGGGTGAGTGCAGAGTGGAAGGAGGCAGGAGAAACTGCCCTTGTCTGGCTTGGTTATCTGCATGTGGGACGTAGAACCTCTTGAGAGCTGCTGAGCCTGTGTCCTGGTGACAGACAGACACCGTGAGCCCCAGGTGTCAGGTCAGGCATGTAAGGGGTTGGGACACAGCTAAGGGTAGCTGTGGAGGTGAGGCATGTGCATCAGGACCTGGCCCTGCGAGCCAAGGGCAGGGAGGCCAGGTCCTGCCTGGAGGAACGGCTGGCTGCAGGAAGTTAAGCTTGGGTCATTTGAGGTCAGGGTCCAGAGTGGTGACTGGGCTATCCAGGGAGTGAGGGCCCGGTGTAGGCCAGGACGGACTCAGAAGCTGGCAGTGAGCACCTAGGAGTTGTTGAGGCAGCTGACAAGTGTGACACCTGTGTTGTGTGGGCTGTGGGCCACGTGGAGTGCAGGCTGGCTATGGTCGGGTGCAGTGGGCCTTGTGGCCATGGGCGGTGTTTTCTGTTGCTTTGTTCTCAACTCCTTGAAAGTGCACCAGGTCCTGAATCAGTTTCTTTCATCAGGAGGTCATTATGCTGGACTGTGGCTTAGGGCACAAGCTGCCAGGACTGGACAGTGGTGAATACTGAGCCTTACCCCTTCCTTCTTAGATGGAGTTAAAAATGGGTGACCCAGACTTGTGGGACTTGCTTTGCCATTGGCTCTGTGGGTCACGTGCCATCAGATGCAGTTAGTCCTGTAGTCCAAGTGCTGTGGAGAGGCCGCAGGAAGAGCCACCCGAGTCTTGGGGAAACCACTCTGTCCTGGGCCAGTTGTGTGCTGTGTCTGCAGCAGGCCCCAGGCCCGTGAGGGGCTCTTGCAGCCGCTTAGGGACCTGTGCAGTGTGTGCTATTTGTGACTTCGCTCCCAGGTTGTTTGTCTTGACTGTGTTTATTGAGATACACTTTTTGTTTTTTGTTTTTTTTTTTGGTTTTTCTCCGGTACCAGGAACCGAACTCACGACCTTGCGCTTGCCAGGCAGGCGCTTTGCCGCTGAGCTAAATCCCCAGCCCCTGAGATACACTTTTTAATGTATGTATCTGGAGATCATATTTTGGGGGTCTTGTTTATTTGAGGATTTGTTTCAGCTCACAGTCTTAGTAATTCTGTGTAACTGTTTATCGAGAGGGTGCTCCAGCATCAGAGGGGCAGGGCCCGCAGTTTCCCATAGTGGGCCTACGAGGTGCCCATGTGGCCCAGGAGGTAGCTTTGGGCGCCAGACAGGTGGGAGGGGGCATGAGCAGGGAAGCGAGAGTAGGACCCAGCACCTCCCTCTTTAGAGCCGTGGGGCTCCTTCCTACACTTGGCCCACATCCCGGAGGCTGGGTACCTGCTGTTCAGAGGCTTTCCTACCATCCTGTGCTCCCCATTGTATTCTGACTTTATTTTGAAGTAACTGCAGGCTCACACGGAGAGCAGTGAAGATACCAGGGGCATCCCTGTATGCCCCTCTGCAGCCTGCCCAGTGATCACCTCAGCATGGCCCCATCACAACTGGGAGGCCTGCGGGCAGGGCAGAGGCTTGTGGGCAGCTGAGTGTCCAGAATTCCTCCTGGGGGATGCTGTGCATCCAGTCAGGACCTTCCACCTTGGGCTTTGTTCCCCAGCAGGATGTGCCCACAGAGGGTGGTACAGGGTGCTGGATGCCTGGGGGAGCTGGAGCTCCACCCAAAAAGCTGTGTCCATGCTTTGCCCACTCAGAGCTCCTTATGGGCTGCTCACTGGGGCTGCTGTATGCCTGCACCAGTGGGGGTGCTGTCCCCCGGGCCCTCTTGGTCCCTTGGAGGTGGACAGGAAAGAGAGGACTCCGGCCCTTTTCAGGTGGCATTGAGTCCTTGGAGAGTGCGGCCTCGAAGGCAGGCAGTGTGGGGTGACAGAGGGTCGTGGCAGCTGTGGGGACACCAGGCTCCATATCACGGACCCACATGTGGCCCCTGTGATGTGCAGCACTGAACCCCACCCTGGAGAGCCTGAGTGGTGCACGCCTGTGTCTGAGTATGTGCACTGGGTGTCTCCTCCGCCCCCTCCCAGCTTCCCGAGGTTTATCTGGTCACCAGAACACTCAAGTCCCTGGCTGACTGCAGACAGTGCTGCATGGTGCTATTTGCTCAGCCTTCCCTGTGGCAGACACGGTGGGAAGTGTCTGTGCTGAGTGCTGCCTGCCCCGGCCCCAGGGCACTCTGGGTGGGGCTTCTGTGGGGCAGGCTGAGCCTCCAGAGTGGTAGCTGACACACCGTGCAAAGCTGGCTTTACCAGCATCCTGTGTGCCATCCTTCAAGGGGGATGTGGGGTTTGTGAGAAGAAACCAAGGCAGTCTTCTGCCCATGTCTACCATCGTCCGCACTCTGCACCCTACCTTCCTCAGTGGCTGGCTGGGACAGGCCAGTGTTGGTGGGGCTATAGAGCCCCTAGAGCAGTAGTGGCATACCTGTGGCACATGTGCTGCAGCAGGCTCTATCTATCATTGAGAACTCTAAAGTTTTGCCATCTCTGCCCTAGAGTCTGTCCTCCTTTGTAGGGGGCTCCAGAGGGTGGACACACTGGTCCCACCCAGCACTGAGGCTTGAGCTGGCTGGGACCTGGTGAGCTGGGCCATGTTTACCCACACCCAGGGGTGGGCAGGGAGGAGCAAGGGGCGATGTTAACCTTTGCTTCATTTCCCATGTTTTCTGTAGAGCCAGGAGATTTCTCTTCGTTTTGTTTTTTTGGGGAGGGTTCTGTTTTGGCTTTTTTTTTAGATAGGGTCTCCTATGTAGTTCAGGCCAGCCTTGAACTCACTATGTAGCCTCAGGCTGGCCTCAGCCTGCAGTACTGGGATTACAGGCATGCACCACCACACCAGGAGGGATAGGAGTTTTCAAACTGGGCAAACGTCTTCCAGGAAGAAGAGTGCATGCATAGGTCTAGAGCTCTCTAACCTGTCAGTGGGACTCACTCACTGCTGTGCCTGGGGGGCCTGACGGTCACTGTCTCCTCTTTCATTCATCTTGAGTGAAATTCAGGGCTGTCGTGTCAGCGCACATGTGGACTTGACTTGGAGGAAATTGGGCTGCCGGCATCTGTGGATGGGGCAGGGCCTGACATGTCCTCCTCTTGCCATGCCTCTGTGGGTCTGGCCAAGTTCTGTGTTGGACGGAGGCTCTCGGTGGGAGCTGACACTGGCGGCATCACCTCTGCAGGCACCGTGAGGAGCTTGAGTGCTGCGTGGCCCAGGTGAGATGAGGGTCAGCGGTTCTCACTGTCTTTCCTTGTCCAGGTGCCCTACGAGACACTGAATAAACGCTTCCGAGCTGCCCAGAAGAACATTGACCGGGAAACGAGCCACGTCACCATGGTGGTGGCTGAGCTGGAGAAGACCTTGAGCAGCTGCCCAGCTGTGGACTCTGTGGTCAGCCTCCTGGATGGCGTGGTAGAAAAGCTCAGCGTCCTCAAACGGAAGGTGGGTGCTGCTGTCCTCCTGGTGACCTTGGTTGTTGCTGGGCCCAGACAGCGGGGAAGCTGGCTGTGTGGCATCTTGACTTGTTATTTTCGGAATTTTACCTCAAAAGTTCTCCTGGGGCTCCTGGTTTCCAGAACTGGTAGGCTAGGACGTGTGGACTAATCTACCCACTAAAAACAACCACAAAGCAGGGTGCTTTGAAATATCTTTCTGGAAGTGTCAGCAAGTTCGTGTGGCATAAAAGAATCACTGGCCCAGATTGGAGGCAGGGATCAGGGAGGTGGAGAGACCAGGGACTGCTGCCGCCTGGGAGCTTTGGCCAGGAGGTAGATGAGGGGCAGTGGCCTTGGACCATGGAAAGTGAGGACCTGATGGAGACCTTCAGGAGACCCACAATGCCCACAGCATGCACCTCAGTGGCGGGTGTTGCCCAGCACGCATAGCGCCCTGGGTTTGATCCCCAGCTCCGCCATGTGTGTGTGTGTGTGTGTGTGTAAAACAATCAAGATGAAAGTCCGAGGTTTGCTTCTGAGTTTAACAGTTAGCAATGAGACAGAGCTCAAGGAGCATGAGTCTGAGGAGATGTCTACATGCAGCCCAGAGAAGGTGGCAGTACATGAGAGGGGAGGAGATGGGGTGGAGTGGAGCCTCTGATGGGACCTGGGCCCAGCGGGGCAGAGGGGCAGCAGGGGGAGGAGAGCAGCAACAGCAGAAAGAGGCGTCATGGGATTTTCACTAGGTAATGCCGAAACCCAGAACGAGACCCCTCCCCAGGGAACACCAGCCCAAGCGGGCTTCTCCCTGCAGTGGGCCTGCAGCCAGCCGTGCACTGTTCACAAGCCAACGAGATTGAGTCCCCTAGTCAGTGCACCCACTGCCCTCGACACTGCTCCTGCAACAGTCCTGGGTGGTCCACCTGGAAATGGTTAAAATTTAGGGTTTGGCTTAAATAAAAAAATATTAGAAAATATTTTAAAAGTTACTTCATAATGATGAATGTTGACTAGGGCGGGATAACAGATTTCAAATCTTGGGCCCCTGGCAACACAGCTTAGAGCAGAAAGCACAAACCAGCACTCCTGAGTGAGGATGCCTGCACCAGGTGGTGGAGCTTCCCATGCCCGCTAGCCATCACTGGCCAAATGCACTTGCCCAGGGACACATGTCCAGCCCTGCCCCTTTGATTCCTGTTGACCATCCAGTGACGGTCCCGGCTGTGCTTCTGCTGTCCTGCTGGTCTTCTCACGAGCCTCGGGAGTGGCACCTGCACCCTGTTCTCCTGCGGGACTGCAGGTGTCCCCATCCTGACATGGCTCTGCCGTGGCAGGCAGTGGAGTCCATCCAGGCAGAGGACGAGAGCGCCAAGCTGTGCAAGCGCCGGATCGAGCACCTCAAGGAACACAGCAGTGACCAGCCGGCGGCAGCCAGCCTGTGGAAGCGGAAGCGCATGGACCGCATGATGGTGGAGCACCTGCTGCGCTGCGGCTACTACAACACAGCCGTGAAGCTGGCGCGCCAGAGCGGCATTGAGGTGGGCTTCGCTCCCCACTCAGGTCCCCTACCTTGGGCCGCAGGGAAGGCTTTGCCTCGCCCTACTCCCAGGGTATGTGCAGGCCCGCTTCTGTCTGCTCCCCATCAAGGCTCTGGCTTCTCACGAGCAGGGCATTCTCCATATCTGGCTCTGCTGGTGCCAGCCCCACCTGTGGGGCGCTTTCAGCCAGAGGTGCCTGCTGGTGTAAGAGGCCTCCTTGCTGCTGGGAAAGGCTGAGCCCCTCCTTGGCTCCTCTGCTGTCAGGGCTGCTGTGCCAGATGTGCTCTGCATTGGCTGTACTGCTTGTAGCTCTGCTGCATGCTGTGGGGCGTGGTGCCCTCAACAGATATGTCCAAGCTGGGACTGGTGTGGATGGCTTGTGGTACCCCAGTCTCATGGTGCTGGGCCACATGCAGACTTCCCCTCTGTCCCTGGCCCTCGGAAGCATCCATGCCCAGACGTGCTGCTCTCAGTCTGGTGTCCACTCCCCTTGTGCCGCTGTACCCTTCCTCCTGCCAGGCCCTGCTGCCTCTCTTGCCTGTCACGTCCTTGGGTGGGCAGCCTCTTGGTGCTGACCACAGCCACTGTCCTCCTGAATTCCCTGCAACCCAAGGTGAGTGCCCAAGGCCTGCTGTGAAAGAGCACAGGGTAGGTGTGGGCATCAGGCTGCACAGGGGTCACTGAAGAGAGGTGGAAGGGACTGGGCAGCTGGAATTACCATTTGCTAGAGACAGGACATGGGAGGACCACGGCTCCCTCTGCTGTGATGGGCCCAGGACCCTCACTCCTAAGGCAGCTCTCAAGGGCTCACCTGGTGCTTGGTGCTCTAGGGAGGTGTTGCCGGGACCAGGTGGGAGCCCCTGTGTCAGACCCAAAGTTTCTGGTGCCATAAACAGAACAAAGGAACAAGTCTTGAAGGTACTCTGGCAAGGCTTTATTTCTGCAGAAGGACATGTGACCGAGCTAGACAAAGCCGGTGAGCATGCCCGATGGGTGGCCCACTTGGCTTTCATTCCCTGATGAGCTGTTGTTACTGTGCCATGCTCTCTTGGGAGGAGTGTGGCTTGGCCTTTTAATAGAGCCGTCCCTGCAGCAGTGGCACCCACTCAGCCCAGGGAGGCCCAGCTCTGTGCTGTCCAGACCACAACCAGACAGCCACTGCACTGGACGCTGACCAGCATCTTGTGCAGAGCCCACGGGCAATCTGATCGATTTCTTGTTGATCTTTTTATAACTCATGGGCTATAAGTGCTGTGCTGTTGGCCAAAGTGTGCTTTTTATCTTGCACTCATTGCTTCTCACACACAGGAAAAGTGTGAGTGGGACTTTGACGGAGACTGTGTTACTTAAAGGCTGGTCTCCACCATGTGCACAGAGGGGCTGCACGAGCTCTGTGTGCCCTGCCCACCCGTGTTGGTGGGTGGACTCAGCTGTGACAGCATGGGTGAAAGCTGCCGTGTCCTGCGGCTGCAGTGCCTGGGGCTCAGGCTGTGGTGCTGGTCGGGCACCCTCCTTGCAGCCCACCTGGGAGCTGAGGGGCGCTTTGTGCTGAGCGATCTCACCAGCCAGGAACTGATTTCTGTTCAGGTGCAGGAGAAGGAGCTTCTGAGGGTTCAGCTTTCCTCAGGTTGCTTCCTCAAGATGACTGGGCACTGCTTTGCCTGTCATAGTTCTTGTTGGTCACATAGGACCCTTGGTCTCTGGAGCCTGGCCCTGTGAGGGGCCCCCCAGCACAGCAAACATGGCTGCTGTTGTGCTTGTCCCACAGAGCATGGGCTCTGGTGAAGGAGTGAGCCCCAACTCACCCCCAGTACTCCTCCAAAATACCACATTTCCAAAACAAAATAGAAGCTCCTACGTCAGGTACACACCTATAACACCAGGACTCTGGAGGCTGAGGAAGAAGGATTGCAGCGAGTTCGAGGCCTGTGAGTTCAGGACCAGCCTGAACTAAATAGCAAGATCCTGTCTCAATAAAAGAAAACCAAAAACCCAGAAAATGAGTTCTGGTACAGGTCTTCTGACAAAGGGCTGAGATGGGGCTAGGCTTAGTGCCACATGGGCTGGTGCCTGTCCACATTTAGGCAGAGCCTTTGGTGCTATGCTGCTGCATGGATGCAGGGCATCTAGTGGTGGAGTGTGGGGTGCCCATCTGCCTCCTGGACAGTCCTGTTAGACCATCTTTGCATCTTTGTGCACTACAAAGAAGCCCTCAGAGCTGGGTGTGTCCCAGTGGCCTCTGGTTCCGGCTGTTGTGCTGTAGGTTTAACAGTGAGGGCCACTGCCTTCCCCTCTCAGCTGAGAGCTTCTACTTACTAAAAGTGAATGCCTCTTTTTTGGGGCCTTATCCTGTGCTGGAGACTGTGGGATGGTAGCCCTTACTGGGGGCCAGGAGGGTTGTACCCAGATGTGGCCTGGCTCCTGGAGCAGCAGGTGTCCACCCTGTGTGAGTTCCCAGGCACCTGCTGTAAGCACAGGCTGGTGGACTGGCTTCAGGGGGCTTGGGGCTAGGGAGGGAGGACAGGACCGGTGCTTAGCGTGCTGAGCAGCTGCCCCTTCCCTAGGACCTGGTGAATATTGAGATGTTCCTGACAGCCAAAGAAGTGGAGGAGTCCCTGGAGAGGCGTGAGACGGCCACCTGCCTGGCCTGGTGCCATGACAACAAGTCCCGGCTCCGGAAGATGAAGGTGCTGGGGGCTCCCTGCAGGAGGAGCTGCAGGCTGCGCCACCTACCCAGGCCCAGTGCACTCTCAGTGTTGGTTTGTGGTGCTCACTGTTGGTGTGAAGGTGGAGCTGTTGGTTGGGGTGTTAGGGGCAGTGTTCTACCAAGGGGAGGAGCTGCTCCCACGCCAGGTCTGTGAGAGGTTTGGGAGCAGCAGGGCCGGTGTGGAACACCACGCGTGTGTAGCACAGTAGTGGTCCTGGGCACTCGCGCTCACTCACACCCACAGGTCGTGGCCTGGAGGTTGTCATCCCACAGGCTGCAGTGCTGTGGGCTGTGGCTTCTGTCAGTGCACACTTCCTAAAGACCACAGCAGCTTTGGCTTTCAGGGCCTGAGCTACAGGCTGAACTGTGCGCTGCAGGATGGTGTGCCAGGGCTTGCTCAGGGCTGATCTTCATCCACAGCCCCTGAGTCCATAGGAGAGATGGTTTTGTTTCCTAACTGAGCCTGCTCTGTCCCCGGGGTGAGCCTGTCAGGGTGACACACACTGTGGCACTCAGGGCCGCCAAGGCAAGCACAGCAAGATGGGTGGAAAAGTAGTGGCTTTGCCAGTGACTCCACTGAAGAGGTTGAGTGTCTCAGTATGGAAACACTAAAAGGAAAGCAGAACTGGTTTATGATCCTCGGCCGAGACACAGCTTCAGCCCTCCCTCCCAGGGGCTCTGCCGGGCTGTTTCTGTGTGGCATGAGAGTCCTCTCTGTTTCCACAGGCCCCCGCACTCAGCGCGTCGTGAGGCCCTTGGTGGCTGCATGTGTGGGCATGGGAAGCCCCAGGCCAGCAGGTCTGCACAGCGCAGGGTGCTGACTGCACGCACGGTGGGCTAGTAGGGCTCCATCCCATGTTGGAGAGGTCAGCAGAAGGCAGTCAAGGCAGTCCACGTGTGCACATGGCACACACACACTGAGGAGGGCAGGAGCCGGGGAGAGTCACACTGAGTGCTCACAGGTCCCTCAGAGCAGAGACGGGGAAAAGAAACTTAAGCACCCAAGTTCCACTGAGTTGGAAGTGAGCTTAAAGTAATGGGGCAAGAGCTTGTGTGTTGAATTGACTAAGGTGCCCAGGTCCTGAGGAACACTGGAGCAGGGGCATGGGTGCTGCATTTCCATGTCACATGTAAGGGGGAGAGCATGGGGCTCAGGTGTTGGGGTCCTGTAGATCAGGGCTGAGCCGATCCCCCCTGCACAGACACGCCTCCCTGTTGTCAGCGTCTGTAGGTACCGTGCAGCCAAGACAATGCAGACACAGTGCTGTTGCTCTTAGAGCTCTACAGCGCCCCCTTCCTGCTTTAGGCAGAGCCCACTGCTGTGCCCAACTGCAGCTGCCAGTGGGTGCCCCAGGAAGCAGATCAGGCCAAGAGAATAGGTTCCCCTGCCCCCTGCTGGTCTGGCTTTGTGGTGAGGGCACTGCTGCTGTCCACTCACCCATGGGCCCCTCCCAGAGCCCTGTGGTGCACTGTCCTCTCCCTGGTCCCACAAATTCGCCTTGGCAGTCAGGCCATTCCTGACTGGCTTGGAGCAGGCCGTTTGCTCTTCTGCCGGGTACAGAGGGGACAAAACCCCCGTGTCCAGGTGACAGGTGTCACTGTGTAGTTGTACCATGGATGTAGAGTGGCATGGCAACACGGAGGCAGATGGTAGCCTGGGTAGAGCTGGCTGTGCAGGGGGATTGGGAGTAGCGGGGAGTCCCTGGGAATGAGTGAGCATGGTGAGGAAGCACAGGAGGTGTGGATGAGCTATTGGGAGTCTTGGGGTGTCATTTAGGTGTTGGGCTGATTGATCCTACCCACTGTGTAGGGGCCATGGGTTGTGGGTGGGGCTCTGTGGCTTGCTTGCTCCTCAGTGCTGCTTCTAGTGAAAGTGCAGACTGTGGGACCCACTGTCCCCGGGACCCTGGAGGTCATCCTGCCCAACCCCAACAGCACTTCCTGCCCAGATTGGATCCACGCGGCAGGTTCCCCACAGCTGCCTGTCCCTGTGCTCGGTAGTGTCCCTCAGACCCTGCAGCCCCAAGACAGTCAACACCAGGCCCCTCAGCTGCCCAACTCTCCCCACCTCTGGCATGGAGCCCCGTTCCCACAGGCTGACACAGAACTCTTGACCTCTGCAGGTCCTGGGGCTCCTGCCTTTATGACAGCCATCTCCTCCACCTTGCCTGGTCCTGCCTGACCCAACTTTCAGGTCAGGTGGGAGCCTCCTGCTCCAGGAAGGTGCTGGGCACTGCTTCACTGTTCCCCTGGCATCTGCCTGGCTTTCTCACCTGGATGTCTTTAGTTTTTTCTGTTAGCCACCTTGGTCTGGCCCACCCAACACTACCACTGGATCGCTGTCTCTTGCTGCGGGCATCAAGATGAGGGCTTGGGGCTGGGGATTTAGCTCAGTGGCAAAAAGCGCCTGCCTGGCATGCGCAAGGTCGTGAGTTCGGTTCCCGGTACCGGAGAAAAACCAAAAAAAAAAAAAAAAAGGATGAGGGCTTGTCTAATCCCCTAGAACAGCTCTACGGGTGGGCAGAGTGGGAGCACAGGAAGTGCACTGAGCCTGAGGCCTGGTAGGCCTTTGGGGTGGGGTGGGGTGGGGGGAGAGATTCTTGAGTGACTGTGGGGTGATCCAGGGTGACCCAGATGCCATGCAGCCCTGGTGAGAGCTGCAGTTCTCTCCCGGGTCTCTGGCTGCTGCCCATGCTTGGTGGCACCTTTCAACGCATACCTGCCAGGCATCCTGGGTGCTGTCTCCAGGCCTGGCCTCAGTGCCCTGTACCCCCAGGGTGATGTGCAGCTCCCATGTTGCCATGGTATGTCCTTGTGTCTATACCGCGTGCCCAGCCCAAGGGCCACAGAGCCACAATGGTCCCCAGGAGGTGTTTGCTGCAGGGTGGTTCCTGTTGAGGGCTCTGGCATCCTCCAAAGGGCCTGCCTGGGATGTGTGAGTGCTGGGGATGCGTGAGGGTCTTGCAGCCTGTGCTGCCATCTGAGCCTCCTGTTATCTGTCCCCAGAGCTGCCTGGAGTTCAGCCTCAGGATCCAGGAGTTCATCGAGCTTGTACGGCAGAACAAGCGCCTAGATGCCGTGAGGTAGGCAGTCACTCCACACTGGGGTTGGTGATGGAAGACAGGCTGCCCAGGGTGGCTCTTCTCGCTCCCCACCAGGCCCTGCCTGTGCGGCAGCTGTGTCTCACTGTGCCTGAGCTGGGGTGGGGCTTCCCTGTGGCCTCCATGTGAGCCACTTTTGCATGGTGACTGTCCACTGAGCTGGTGGCCTGGGCTCTGGATCCATCTTCCCACATGGGTGATATCACCGCTCTGGCCGCAGGAGCACTCAGCAGCTGTGGCCCTCAGTCTGGGGAGTCCCACCTGACCTGTGTAGCCTCACTGGGGTGCATGATGTCCAGAGAGAGAAGGAGTGTGTGCCCCAGTGTTCCCTCCTTCCCATGAGCCAGATGTCCTCAGTCCCAGCCTTGGGAAGCTTGCCTGGTGCCTGGCCTGGGCAGTGTCGTCACCCTTGTGGGGTCTTCTCAGGGCAGCTTTGCTGAGCCTCCTACAGCTAAACCCAAGTCTCAGAGCAGGGAGGGCAGCAGGGAAGATAGAGCAGAGGTGTGGGCCGGATGGGCAGGTTGCCCAGTGCAGGGGCACTGGGCACAGCCCTGGCAGAGGTGTTGGCCTGTGGTGCCCATCTGAGACCTGTGTCCAGCTGGAGTGCCTGCTGGGGAGGGGGACAGTCTTCCATGAGGTGCCCCAGTGGGCACAGGCAGTGCCGAGTACAAGTAAGGGTGCAGGGTGCACCCAGAGGCCATGTGGTGGCATCTTGCCCTGTTCCCTGCGCTGTACTGGGTTGTTATTCTGAGCCAAGACCTCAGCTGTGTGACCCAGGCACAGGGCCTGGCCAGGTAGTAAGGCACATGTGTCCCTGGGCAGTGGGTGAGGGACACACCGTCTCCCTTCCTGTTAGTACTGCTGCTCCTTGTGCCTGTGTCCACAGGGTGCCACCCGCTGGGCCATGACCTTGCCTGTTTCCCTCTGAGGGCCTTGGGCACAAGGTTAGCCAAGGAGTTGAAGAGCCTCAGCTGGGACAGGCTGGCCTCACAGCACCTGTTGCTTCTCCTCCCAAGCACTCTGTAGAGGCAGGTGTCCTGGTGGCCGGGAGTACCTGGCCCTGCTGCAGGGGCGGGGAGGGGCACCTGTTCGGTGCTCCCTGTGATCAAGCAGTGGTGGCCTGTAGCTTCCTGGTAGATGGATAAAAACTTCTCGTTGCACTCTAAAACAATGCAGTGGAGTAGGCAGATGTACTGAGTGACTTTATTTCTATTTTCTGAATTTTCTTGCCATAAATGGGTATAAGAAAAATAACAAAGGTATTTTTAGGTTGAATCACAGGGATAACCTGGCCAGAATGTTCAGGGTCCTGGGGTGGAGGCCAGGAACTGCTTGGGTCTGTGCAGACAGGAGGACTGGGCTCCCCAAGGGGAGGGAGCAGGGCTCCACCCCAAGCTGCCTTCCCAGGAGCAGAGTTGGGGCAGCAGGGGTTGGGCCTGGGCAGAGTGTGGAGCAGGTTTCTCTCTGGGAGGGTACGGGAAGGTATCTTCTGCTACTGGACCCTAGAAGGGCAGCCTTACCCTGGTCAGCAGAGGGTGTGGTGGATGCAGAAGCATGAACTGCTGGGACTGATTAGAACACTTTTTAAATTACTTATTTTAAAACTTAATTTATTTGGAGATGAAGTCTCAATATGTTGCTCAGTGGCCTCAGACTCCTTTGCTTAAGTGAGTTTCCTGCCTCAGTGTCCCAAGTAGCTGGGGCTACAGGCAATCATCATTTAATTTTGAATAAATGAGTAGGCCAGGTGCCTGACCCAGGCACCCAGGTGTGCATGCATCTGCGTGGGGTGTATGTGAGGTGGGGCTGTGGTGCTGGTGATGCCCACCCTCCAGCCTGGCCTGGTGAACTGCAGTGTGTAGCCCCTGAGTGTTGCGTGTGTGTGTTGTACTCTAAAGAAAACCTCAGTTGGGCAAGGTGGCACATACCTGTAAGCTCAGCCTCGGCCAGGCTGGGGGGCCTAGTGATGCCATCTCAAAATACAACTCCAAAAAGGGCTAGGAATGTAGCTCTGTATTAGTGAGGCCCTGGGTTCAGTCCTCAGCACTGCAGAAAAGAGAAACTTCATGTCATTCTTTCTTCCTTGCGTGTCCTATGGGTGGCCAGCTATGGGTCTCCCCTGGGTGTACCCTGAACCTCCCTTCCTGCTCCTTTGAACCCTGTGGCCTCTCTGTGGCGTTTTTGGTGGCCCCCTTCCTCTTTGCCTACCTCAATCCCTGCCCAGGTCTGTGTCCCCTCAGGGTGGCAGGGGTTTGTTTCTCCCGTGCATGTTGTCTTATTCCTGACAGTGGGAGGATACAGGGCCACAGGTCACACTGCATCACTGGCCCAGGGGAGCCGGGCTTATTCTGAGGGGCTCTGAGTGCATGGGTGGTGGAGAACCAGTGTTGTGTGTGGCATTTCCTAGACAGCCAATGGATGGCACAGAACAGTGCCGGGCAGCTCGGGGTTTGGGGGGAGCCTGCCTGTGTCTGCCTGTGCGCATCGTGGGAAGACTGGCATGTGTTTGTCTGCACATAGAGCAGATGGGTGGGGCTGCTGCTTGGTGCCGGGCCAGGTAGGGTTGCCACAGGGTGCTCAGGGCAGGGGCCCCACAGCCCTGCCACCAGAGCTTCCTGGGCTGAGTGCTTCTTGGGCCTGATTCGGGTAAGCCCATCAGCACAGGTCCTTACTAGCAGTGACATGCGGACTAAAGCATGCCGACGTTTATTTTTCAGGCACGCAAGGAAGCACTTCAGCCAGGCGGAGGGGAGCCAGCTGGATGAGGTCCGCCAGGTCATGGGCATGCTGGCCTTCCCACCAGACACGCACATTTCCCCATACAAGGTAGCACCTGTGCCTGTGAGAGTGGGTCACTGGGTGTTGCTGTCCAGTCTGTTGCTTTCTCCAGCGCCATGTGAGGGCAGGCCCGCCACATGCCCTGCTGGGTTCCCATGTGCTGCTGAGGGACCAGGGCCCAGGCTCAGGAGCTCTGCAGCCCCCATATCTCTGTCTCTGTCCCATGTCTGGTGCTTGCTATGGGTGTCAGGGCTCTGGTCTCCAGATCACCAGCCTTCTGACTGGGGTTCTCCTTCCCTCAGTGGGTTCTGGTCTCCTCTTGTGGCTCCCTGGTAGGTCTGCTGCCCTCCCACGGACCCCCCCACACTCTGGGCTGCGATGCATCATGTGCCATCGCTGAGCCAGCCCTGAGCACATGGCTGAGTCTCAGGAGCCTGGTGTTCCCCAAGTGTGTGTTCAGTTCCCAGGAAGCGGGCAGGGGCAGTTCTCTGCTCACAGAGTGTGTGAGGCTGGTTCTTAGAGCTTCATAGCTGGTCCCAGTCGAGGCCTCCCCTTTGCCCTGTAGCTCCCTCTGAGAAATTACTGGAGCTATCTGCCCTGCCAGAATCTACACAGCACCTCGCAGGGAAAGGTAGCCTGGCCACAGATGATGAGATGCCAGGTCCAAATGGACTTCTTGGATGTCTCTTACTGCTCTGGAGAGGACTGTTAGAAATGTAGGGGAGTGCCACCCACTCAGGGGAAGCACGTCTGGCTTGCAGTGTGGGCGGTGTCTCTCTCCTCCCTGAAGTGGGGCAGGGAAGGCTAAGGTGGCCCTGATCCCACCACCTAGACAATAGGGAGGAGCCCTGCCCTCTGTGTGCGCTGCCACCTCCTGCATGCCCCAGAAAGTGGGTGACAGGCACAGCCCAGCATATATGGCTTCCCCCGCCCATGAACTCAGAGGAATTCAGTGACACGGAAGAGAAGGACAAGATCACACGGGGCAAAGTTGGCTTGTGGAAGCAGGCAAGTTGGGGTACAGTGAGCTTAAAAGAGAGTTGAGATTGTGGGTGTCCCAGATAGAAAGGACCTCAGCAGTCACCAGGCCGGGTGCAGAGCTGCCCACCTTTGAGTCTCTGGGTCACCAAAGACCTGGAGCAAGGTCTGGTTTGGGGCAGGGGGTGGGGTGGGTCTGCTGCAAGGCCGTGGTATGAAGGGCTTCAGACAGCCTTGAGCTGTCTCACTTCTCTGTGTGAGTCTTCTGGGCGGTTGGTCTAATCCCAGATAACTCTACTTTCATAAAAGTAGTATTAAAAACAAAATTTTTAAAGAAAGGTTGAAATTGTGTCATTACCCTGCAACAGCTATGGTGAACCTTTTAGAGACTGAGTGCCCGCACTGCAATTAAACCTGAATAGTAAGGTTTCAGTTTAGAAAAAACAACTCCTGTATTAAAAGAAAAACACAGTAACAGCTTTCAGTGGTACAGACGGCCCGCTGCAGCATGTGTGCCATGGTTTGCCACCACTGCCCACTGCTCAGGACAGATGGCCAGTGGTGCCCCCAGCTCCTGTCTGCCTCTGTCCCTGCCCCCATCTGTCCTCCTTCCCTCTGTCTCTGGTCTTCTCAGGCTTGAAGTAGTTGTAGTTGCTCATTGTCCATCCAGTGTTATTTGCTGGAGTATGACTTCTCCCATGAAGTTTTAGTACTCTGTGGCTCCCTCTGTCCTGCTGTGCATCCTGCCCAGGCGTCCTGTCCTGGTCATAGCCTTGGGATACTCAGCTGCAGAGCACGTCAGTGCATGAGCGGCTGTTCCAGAAGGTTAAGCTGTAGGTCCTGCAGGTGTCCTAGGTCAGGCTGGGGTGTGTGTGGGTGGCCCACCACTATCCCGTTGCCAGCTGTCCCTGTGGGACTCCCCAGAGGGTCCCAGCCCCCCTGCCTGTCTTTTCCAGGACCTTCTGGACCCAGCGCGATGGCGGATGCTGATCCAGCAGTTCCGGTACGATAATTACCGCCTGCACCAGCTGGGGAACAGCTCCGTGTTCACACTCACTCTGCAGGCTGGCCTCTCAGCAATCAAGACACCGTATCCTCCCTACCCTGTGCTCAGGCTCCTATCCATGCTCACATCTTAGCACAGTGGTCCACCTGTGCCATTCTGTCTTGTCCCAAGGATAGGTACCACGTGCTATGTGCAGACCACACTTTCTCTGTTGAGCTTGTGTAGCACTGAGATAGCTAGAGGTGCTGAAAGGGTGTCAGCTCAGTCTGTGGGCTCCATGTGGCTTCATTTCCCTCCTATCCTAGGTGCTGCTGTGTTCCAAGGAGTTCTTGGGGCCAGGACCTAACCCTGAGTGACTTTGGGGGCCAGGTGGCTGACCCTGTGAGACTTCCAGGCCCGGTACTGACCCTTGCAGGACTTTGAGGGACCTGGGGCCAAGCTGAGGTCCTGCTGGGGGCCAGCAGGTCTGGCACTGTGGCTGCTTGTTGAGTCAGGCTGCAGCACACTGTCTTCCTGCTAGGGGCTGAATCCTCTTACCCACTTGGTTTGCTTTCTGCGTGGAGCACATGCAGCCAGGTGGGCTCCCTGAGCCCAGCGGGGAGTGCCCACAGTATGTCTGTTCTCCGGCTGCCCCAGCAGCTCCTGGCCCTTCCTTAACCCTGTGCACAGACAGTGCTACAAGGAGGACGGCAGTTCCAAGAGCCCCGACTGCCCGGTGTGCAGCCGCTCCCTGAACAAGCTGGCCCAGCCCCTCCCCATGGCCCACTGTGCCAACTCCCGCCTGGTCTGCAAGATCTCCGGTGACGTGATGAATGAGAACAACCCACCTATGATGCTGCCCAACGGCTACGTCTACGGCTACAACGTGAGACGGGGCAGGGTGGCTGCATGCAGTGCCGTGAGGCCTGGGTGAAGGGCACGGGCCACAGCTGAGCACCCTTGGTGACAGGTTTCTGTGACAGGTACCCCTTCAGGACGTGATGTTGCAGGGTGAAGGGCCTATTCCCCAAGGGCTTGCCACTTGGATGGCACTGGCAATTCTGGCGGATATTGTGCTTCCTGCCCTAATGTGTCCCTGGTCTTATTTTTCAGTCTCTGCTTTCTATCCGTCAAGATGATAAAGTTGTTTGCCCGAGAACCAAAGAAGTCTTCCACTTCTCACAGGCCGAGAAGGTGTACATCATGTAGACCCGTGCGCCAGGTGCACGCCCTGGACCGCACCCTCCTCCTGTCCCGACCCCAGCCTGCCTCGGCGTTTCTGTTTCTTGCGACCAAAGATCAGTGAGCAACAACAAACACTCTTAGGGAGAGAGGAAGTGAGATTTGATAAGTTTGTAATTGAAAACGACATTTTGATGAGTAGGATTTTGTAACATGCTTCCGCAAGTACTGCACCTCTCAGAGCAGCCTTCTCTACAGACTGCCCTAACAGTGAAGGACTCTAGAGCATCTCAAAACCAGGAACGACCTCCCCGTGTTCTCAGTCTCCTCCACCTGCTGACAAGGAGACTAGGGAGCTTGAGGAATGGGCTGGTCCTTTCCCAAGTGCTGGCTGTGGCCGGGGTGAGGATTCCGGTGCAGCACACGGGGCCTTTCCTGACTTCACCCCAGAGCTGTGCACCGCTGGGGACGCCAGGGTGTGGCGTCTTGGCCAGGCCCTGTGTGCACAGGTTCGGGGTCTTGTCCTCTGCGTGCCGCCTTACTTCCTGCTTTGAGAATGTATCATGTGGAAATCCACTGGACCGCGTTTCTGCAGAGGCCTTGCTGATGGCTCGGTAACCCTAGAGTCTCACTGCTATTCCGAAGTACTGTGGGGTTTCAGACACACGAACCTGTAGTTCACACACACATTGTAGAGGTTTGTATCTAGCGCTTATTTTTGCATGTTGATGTTGATTAGCTAATAAGCTGTAAATGTAAAACGTGTTAATAAAACGGCTTCTATTTCTCATTTCTCTCTGAGGTGTTTTCTCACCCCAGGGTCTGGCCTGCTGCCCTGCCAGGGCCTGGCTTCACGATGCTCTTGCCACAAGAGAAGGGGCTCCATGCTGCCGGGAGCTGAGCTGGCTACCCCAAGGGACAGTACTTCTCAGGGAGCTCCCCATCCTGGCCTTGAGGGGCTGCCTGGTACAGGAGCATCACTGTGGCTCCCGCTGGGCCAGCTGGTGCCCTGCCGGGGCAGAGGTCCAGGCCAGTGGGTTCTGAGAGTGACTCCTATCAGCTCTGGCCCAGGGTCCCAGGCCTCTGTGCCTGCCCGCTTGTGGGCTAGGGCTGAGGTTGTAGACACCAGCAAGCAGGTCCAGGGGCTCCAGCCACAGCTGCCACCCCCAGCAGCTGCTGTGCCACCCTTCCCTACTCATCTCTGCTCCCGTTCTGTGGCCACCTCCCTCGGCTCCAGTGCCAGGATAGCTGCTGGGGCCACCTAGCTCCCACCATAGCAGGTCACACGTGAACCTCTTTCAGGTGCCAACCTGTTCAGGCCTTGGCAGAGCCCTGGGGCCACCCCTGACCTCTGCTCCCTATGGCACCGTGCTCTGCTTCAAGGAGCCCCGAGACCTGTGCAGCACACTGGCCACACACCAGCTGGCACCTCTGCCCTCAGTGGGGCCCGTGACATCAGCAAGGGGTGGGCAGTGCCCCGGTGAGGCTCTGGTGCGCCAGGGCCTAGGAAGCTTCCCGGCCACCGTGCTCCCTACTCTGTGCCGAGTGGCACTGCTGCCCCACCAGCCTGTCCTTGCCTCCCTGATGCCCTGGTCCTTTTCTAGCCAGCTCTTATGGGTCCCTTGGCTCTTCCTGCCAGGGTGGCCCACTGGCAAGTAGGTGGGTGGCTATCCTTCAGGGAACATACTGTGAACTCCAGCACAAGCCTGGCTGGCAGAGGCTGCCAGCTTGCAGAGTGCCCACATGCTGCCCACTGGCACTGGCACCACAGTGTTCTACATCCTCCAGCACCAAGATCCTGGGGGGTCAGGCCTTGTTGGTTAACTTTTTAAAACTGAGTTTAAAATTACATATGTTAAAAAGGCACACAACTTAAAACTATAGTTTTCATATCTGGCTTGAGTCTACCAATTTTTTTTTGAGACAGTCTCATTATGTAGTTCAGGCTAGCCTTGAACTTGTGGCAATGCCTGCCTCAGCCTCCCAAGAGCTTGAGTGACAGGCATGTGCCACAACAGCTAGCTATGATATAAATACTCAAGAGTCGCATTTCCCTAGTTCCTTTTTGCTTTCTTGTTTTTGACAAGGGTCTTGCTAAGTTGCCCAGGCTGACCTCAAACTTTTAATCCTACCCTAGCCTCCCTCAGAAAACACAGTAGTTCCTTTGCGTACTGCTGAGCAGCAGCAGCAACAGCAGGAACCCACATTTGCACAGATCATGATTTGCACATTCTCTTCTTGATGGACATCTGTGTTAGTTATTCCCAGTTTGAGTCTACAGAGAGCAAAAGGTGCTGTGATTTGTTGACAAATCTTTTATTTGGAAGGAATCCTCAGGAAGTAGAACTGCTGAGACATGTTGCTGTCTGCCCATACTAAAACCTCCAGGGGTCTTGGGCATAGTGGTGCATGCCTATAATCCCAGCACTCAGGAGGCTGAGGCAGGAGGATAGCTGTGCATTCAAGGCCAGCCTGAATGGCATGGCAAGACTGTATCTCAAAAAACAAAACCTCCAGGGTTGGCCTGTCCCAATCACGGAGTGTCTGCAGGTTCCAGGTGTTCTGAATTTGCCAACATTTGGTGGAATCACTCTGCACCATGGGCTTGCCGCTGTCTCCCCAGGGATTGAGTCTGCTGTTCTGATTACTAAGGAGGGCACCTTTGCATGCACTGCCTGTTGGCCAGGAGTCTGGCCAAACCTTTTGCAATCTTGGGTGCATTACTTTTACTGGTTTTAGGGGTTCTTTCCATATTCCTGACGTGGTACTTTGTCAGATGTAGTACTGACACTTTGTTGACAGTGTCAGTGAACAAACTTGTTTTAATTGTTTGAGGTCTGCATTTCCACATAAAATTTTAAAATCAGCTTGTTAAGTGTCTATTGAAAATTTTAAAAGCAAGCTGGGGCTTTAACTGGAATTGCAGTGAATCTGTAGGTTTACTTAGTGACTACATTGCTTGCTCAGGCTGTGTAACAGCACAGCCTGAGTGGCTTAAAGAACAGACTATAGTCCAGTGCCAGGCGTGGTGGTGCCCATCTGTAATCCCAGCACTTAGGAGGCTGAGGCAGGATTGTTTTAAGTTTGAGACACGCCTGGGCTACAAAGTGAGCTCAAAGCCAGCCTGAACTGCATAGTGAGACCCATCTCAAAAAGAAAAAAACAAAAAAGAACAGAGTCCAGCCAGGCCTGGTGGTTGAGGCAGGTGCATAAAGGCCAGCCTGGGCTCCATAGTGAGTCCAAGGCCAGCCTAAACTGCAGTGAGACCCATCTCAAAAAACAAAGATGACAGAAGTTTATTTCCCCACAGCTCTACAGCAGGCGCAGGCAGGTCTGGTTCTGGTGAGGGCTCTTTACAGCTTGCAGTGGCCATTGGTCACCATCCCACCATGTCCTCACACAGCCCTCACAGTGTCTTCCTCCAAAGGCCATCCATCCTAGCACATTTGGGCCCCAGCCTTGTCACCTTCTTACCTTCCCTGCCTCTTCAGAGCCCCTGCAAATGCAGTCACACTGGGGCTGGAGCTTCAGCATGAATCTGGGGGTACATAGTTCAGTCCACAGCATAAGCTTAATACCATACTGAGTTCTCCAACCCATGAATATGGTGCATCTCTCCATGAATCAACCTTTCATCTCAGTTTTATAGTTTTGAGTATACATATTTTGTCAGTTTAACTCTATGTCTTGATGTTTAATGCTAATAAGATGTATTTTTTAAATCTACCCTTCCAGCTATCCATCAGTAGTGTGAAGACACATGACGGTGTTTATGTGCTGATCAGCTGACCCTGTGGCAGGCCTTGGTAGTTCTGTGGCCGTGGTAAGGTTCCCAGGGCCTTCTGCACGTGCAATTCTTGATGGCCTGCCTTCTCCCCTCCTAGCACTCCACCTTCAGTCTTCCTCTGCCAAGGTCGCTGGGGCTCCAGCACAAGTGTTGTGCGCAGGGTGGGAGTGGAGGTTCCAGTCCAGCAGGAGACACTGAAGGCTTGCACAGTTAAGCATGACTATTGTTGTGGGTTTTCTGTAGATGTCCTTTATCAGGCTGAGGAAGTTCCAGTCTCATTTCCTAACAGTTAAGACCATGAATGGATGTTGTATTTTGTCAAAATGTTTTTCTTCATGTAGTAAAACTACTTTATTCTGTTCGTATGAACAATAATACTGATTTCAGGTCGTTAAACGTGGCATTGCAGAGGTAAATCCCAGGTACTCATACTGTATGACAGCTTTTATATATTGCTGGATTTGGCCTGCTAGGAGTTTACTTAGGGATGTTTTGCAACTGTGTTCAACTCAGGAGAGGTTTCTTTCCCCTCAGAGGTTCAGGGGATTCACTCCATGGTCACCTGGCTGCAAGGCAGGAGCAGCATGGCAGACTGGTGTGGTGCAGCAGCTCGCCACAGGGTGGCCAGGAAGCAGGGGACGGGGAGCAGCTGGGGACGAGAATGCACCCTTTCAGGCCACATCCCAGTGACCCACCCCTTCCGGGCAGGCCTTACCTCAGAATGTGGAGTTTGCGGAGGACACTTCAGACCTAAACCATAACAACCACATCATGTAAAAGCACAGTGATCTACATATACTACCATTTCTCTCACCCTGTCCTTTGGGATTCTGTGGTCATAATTTTTCTACATGTTACATACCCTGGGACCCATTTTTGCAGTCAGTGATCTAGAAAAGAAAGTTGAAATATATTATGCAGTTTCATCATTTACAGAACTCTTCGTTTCTTCGTGCAATAAAACAAAGATCCTCGCTGTCGGGGAGCAGACTCTGGCGGTGGAAAAGGGGAGACCACAAGCGTGGGATGGAAGGCTGAATGCTCTGGGAAGCAGTAAAGGGGGGCAGGGTGTTGCTGCAAAGGACCAAGAACTGAGGGGTGTGAGCTCTCGCGCGGGAGCAGGTGAAGGAGAGACTTGAGGTCCCAAGTCCCCACCCAGGGAGAGCAGACGGCAAGCCCTGGCAGCACTCCTGATCTGCTCCTGAGTCCGAGGACTCGCAGCCACAGGCTCTGACTCCAGCCTGTGAAGGTCACTGGCTGCTGTATGGAGGGCCCTACGGAGGGCTCGGGGCTGGCGCTGGGCGTGGACTTGAGACGGTGCGACGTGCCCTGGCCCTGCTCTGAAGGTGGGGCTGTCGGGGTTCACAAATGGACTGGACTTGGGGTGACTCTGCTTACTGCCCCAGGCGGACAGAAGAAAGGACGTCTGGACGCTGTTGGCTGCCCGGAGAAGGCAGGAGGACTGGCATCTGCAGGTGAACCTCACAGGCCACCTGGTGATCACAGGAAGCTGATGCCCAATCTCCGGACGTTGCTGCAGGAGGGGAGGCAGCGGACGCGGCGGGGCGGGGCCGCAGGGCCGCGCACTGACGCCCAGGGAAACATGGGCCCGGAGAGCAGGGGACCTGGGGGCTCCTCTCTCCTTGTGGACGACCCTCCGTCAACGCGACCTCCCGGGGCCGACACGGCCTCCCGGGCCCGGCCAGGCTGCGGGAGCCGTTGGGCTGGGCGCTGTGATCGACTTCCGGACCCGCCCGCCAGCCCGCAGCCTCCCGCCAGCTCCCATCTGGGCGGCCCTGAAGGCCGTGCAGGGGGCTACGAGCTTTCAGACGGCCGTGGCAGTGAGACCCAGGTCGACACCACCCACTGAGCCTCAGGGCTCCAGGCGTCCACTCGGTGCGCCTGCACCAGCGTCCTCTTTAAGGACTTGCTGCGCCCTCCCGCCTCCTTTTTCTCGCGCGCCGTAGCCCTCGCACCGCCGACACCCCCGGAGCGTGCCACGTCACGCCGCAGCACTCCACTTCGCCGCGTGCCTGCGCCTCCGAACCATTAGCCGCGCGGCTCGGGCGCGCGGTGGGAGGGCGGTGGGGCCTTCTCCGGAAGGGGCGGGGAGAGGGCTCCCGACGCCGTGCGGCGACGCCGTGCTGACCGTGTTCCGCGGCCGCGGAGCAGGAGCGAGCCAATGGGCGCCGAGCTCTGGGCGGCTACCAGCCGGTGCCGGCCTTGCGGAAGGGGCGGGGTGCGCGAGCGGCCGGCCGGACTCGGGGTAGGTTCCGCGGGGCCGGCGCACCTGGCTGGCGTTGCCCGGCCGGCCCGGTGTCCCGCAGGCGGTGGCGGGGTCGGAGCGGCTGTGTGCCCCGCACAGAGCCTCTGCCTTAGGGCTCGGGAGGGGCAGCGACCGTGGGGTCCCGCCGCGCGTCGCCGTCCCTTGCTCCGCCCCCAGCTCCCTGGCAGCGTCCGCTGCTGTCCCGGGCGGGACACGGACATTGACAGCGGCGGCGCTGACACGTCTCATCTTTGAAACTTCCTAGTTACACGGAAAGGCTTTGCTGGACTCGCCCCAGTGGCCCCTTGATTGCTCATGTTTCCCAGGGAGTCACCCCACTTGGCAGGGGCATAGGGACCCCAGTGTCAGGGCGCCTCCCGCAGTGCCGGGTACGGAGAGGAACTCAGTAAGCATTCAGTGACCAAACAAGAAGGCAAAGGACAGGCTGGTGATTAAGCATCTCTGTGCTCCCTGTTCCTAGATATGGATCAGAAACTTCCAGAGTTGGTGGAAGAGCTCACAACTTCAGGAGAACCTCAGCTGAATCCTGAGAAAATGAAAGAACTGAAGAAAATCTGCAAGTATGTCTGTAGGGACAGCATTTTGTGGTAGCTGGCGATGTGAGCCCATGACATTTTAGAGATGGTGGGCTTCCCTGCGGTCCAGCACCCCTCTGCTATCTGAGCCTTCCCCGCCTGCCTCCACCGAGACAGAACCACACAGGAGAGGCCCAGGTTCCCCGGCCCTGCAGAGCCGGGCCTGGGCAGGTGTGCAGGTCAGGGAAGACGTGGACTCTCCTCCGGCTACTTCTTACCCATCCCACCTGTAGGGGTGAACAGGTAACATGTACCGCTGGAACACGGAAAGAGGAAGTTCACGGTGCAGTGATTGCTTTTTTTTCTTTGCTGTGGATCTGGGAATTGATCCCAGGACCACAAGCCTGCTAGTCAAGCCCTCTGCTGTGGACCCACGTTTATAGCACATGAACCCGTGTACACTGCCCCCTGCTGCGTGTTTAGAATAAGCCCCCCAAAGAAATACCTATGAGGATCCTGCTGTGCTTTTCTCCCACGTGGTGGAACAGGAACCTAGCATGCTGGTTACAGTGTATTTATAAAGCAAAGGAAATTAAGTGATCATTTATTTCTTGAAAAAAGTGTTTATATTTCAGTAAAAAACCAGCTTAGACCAAGTTTTACACCACATCCAAGAAAACCTCCAAATCTCTGGTTCACATGGGGCTGTAGCTGACAAGAGGGACCCCCAAGAGCTCCGTGGGCCTTTCACTTCCCACCAGGGAGGCCAGGGCTGGGTTCCCAACTGAGGTCTGTCCTGCCAGGGGAGGGCCTGCCAGTTGTCCTCTGAAGGGCGGCTGGTAGTACAGGCTGCACCCCTGTGAGGGCTCTGTTGCAGCCACTCAGCTCTGAAGGCAACTGTGGGTGATGTGCATGGAGAGGGGGGTGTATCCCAGTGAGAATACTGACAGCCACCGACTTTTTTTAAGCCACTGACATTTGAATCATGCTTTACATGTTAAATTCTCTCTCATGTATCGAATTACAGGGGGCTTGCTAAGGATCAAACTGAGAACCTTGCATGTGCTAGGGAAGTGCTTTGCCACTGACCTGCTGCCACAGCTGTTCAGCCCTTAAGAATGTAGAGGATATTCTTGGCTTGTGGGCCGTAGGGAAGTAGGCCATGTGGTGGCTGCATTTGATGCTTGGTGCACCAACCCAGCTCCCACAAGGGAAGGGGAAGACTGCGCTGCCGCTGCAGTCCGTCCCATGTGTGAATATGTGTCCCTGCACAAGGGGGCGTAGGCTGACCTGACCTGACCTAAAGTGTCAGGCACTTGGATCAGGCTGATTTGTGACCCCAGGTCTTCAGAGGAGCAGCTCAGCCATGCCTATCACCTGCTGATGACCCAGCTGAGCCAGGACCATGCTGAGATTCGCCTGTCTGCTTTCCAAATTGTGGATGAGCTCTTCGCCAGGTCTCACCAGTTCAGGCTGCTGCTCGTTTCCGACTTCCAGGAGTTTCTGGAGCTCACACTTGGGATGGACCATGAGCAGCCCCTACCACCCCCCAAGGAGGCAGCCCAGAGGCTGAAGCAGGCGGCCATGCATGCTGTGGAAGGGTGGAATGAGCGCTTTGGCGAGGCCTATAAGAAGCTGGCCTTGGGCTACCACTTCCTGAGACACATCAAAAAGGTGAGTGGGCCTTGCATGGTGCTGCCTGGTTCCTTGGGGCTGGATGGGCAGACCTGGGCAGCAGAGTGGAAGGGTTCCCCAGGCCAGAGGAGTGGAGCTGCTTGGCCTGGGCACCTGGGCTGCTGGATTGCCTTGAGGGGAGGGGCAGCACTCAGGGTACCAGCTTCACACATGCACCCCGACCTGGGATAGTCCCTGCCCCACCTTCACTCTTTATGTCCCCTTAGAACCCACTGGACTCTGGCTGTTCTGGGTGTAATGAAACTGTCCAGGGCCTTCAGATCAGTTGTTCTGATTACCAGATACATGTGTGCAAAATCTGATCTGAAAACAGTATGCAGTATAAGAACCATTGTTGAACTCCTACCATCTTGTATGGTGAAGCTCTGCATCATTTCCAATGTTTTTGGGGGTTTGTTTTTTTTTATTACCTTTTACCATCTTTGATTATTTGATCAATCTTACATTCTCACATCTGGTAGACTGAGAAACTTCTTTGAAGATAACAGTATGTAATGTAGCAGCTATTGTAAATTTCTATCATTGTTTTGAGGTCAAGTATAGTTTTTGTTGTTTTTATTTTGTCTTCATTGTTGTTGTTTTGCCAGGGTTTGTGGTTTTGTTTTTTTTTTAATCTTAAAAAAAAAGAAAAGAAAAACTGTCGAGGACCAGCACCAAACCCCATCACTACCTGGAGCCTGCCGTGCCCCTGCCCCAGGCAGACGGCCAGGCCTTCCCATGGGCCAGTGGCGTGCCACCTCTCAGGCTCATGCTCGATGGCATCCAGGCTCCTGCATCCACTTGGCTACCAATTGGCTGCTAGCTGAGGGAGTGCCCTGTCTTCCTCCCTGTGTCTCCCTGTGGCTGGAAGTATGTTTTTTTTTTTTTAATTTTGTCCGTTTTTTATTTTAAGACAGGATCTCACTGCGTTGCCCAGGCAGGCCTTGAACTCTCCTGGGCTTAAGCAGTCTTGCTTCCTCCTTCTGAGTACCTGGGATGGCAGGTGTGCCACTGTGCTTGGCAGGGGGCTGGAAGTCTTTTTACATCCCCCAACCCCTGTGTTGAGGATTGAACCTAGGGCCTTCGCACAGAGCTGTATCCTAGGCCTTTTTACATTTTTTTGCTTCAAGGTAGGGTCTCACTAAGTTGCTGAGGCTGGGTTTTAGCTTGCAATCCTCCTGCCTCAACTTCCCAGTGCTAGGATGTGACTTGTACTGCCACACCTGGCTGGGTTTTTACGTCTTTTATCTCAGGTGACAAACATGCAAGGCCAGGCAGCAAGGTCAAGTGTTTAAACGCCATGGACTGACCAGACAGGGGACCCTGGCACACACTGCCCTTGTTGGGTCTGGCCTTGTGTGTGTGTGTGTGTGTGTGTGTGTGTGTGTGTGTGTGTGTGTGCTGGGAAGTCCCCATCTTTGTTGTGGATTTCCCAGGTGGATTTCCAGGATGTGAGCGCCAGGACTCCGGCAGAAAGGAGACGGGAAGAGGAGAAGCAGAGGCGCTTGGACAGAATCTATGCAGAGAGAGCTGAGCAGGCTGCACGGGAGATGGAAGGTGAGCTCCCAGGCTGGGCTGGGCCTCTATTGTCCTGCTGCCTTCTGCCCTGGAGCCCTGGGGCCGACAGACTAGACAGAGGGTTCAGGTTGGGCTGTACGTCTGCAGACTGCCTTGGCCTCCGTCCTCCAGGCAGGCTTCACTTGCAGTCAGTTGCTGTGAGGCCCTGTGGGAAGGCTGGTGTGGACCTGGTCCAGGACGGTCTCCCTGGGTGGCCTGGCTGAGCCCTCTCACCCATTCACCTCATGGCCCTACTTGTCCTGCCCATGACCTTCCCAAAGTAACCCTCCCCAGCACTTCCTGGTAGGCATCCCTGGTTCAGATCACAAGCAGGATGCAGAGGCCTAGGGGTTCAGTTGCCCACCTGCAGAGCACCCCAAGACAGGCTGAGATCACGAGCATGTGTGGGTGTCTGCGTGTGCCCAGGCCCCACAGGCATCTGTCCTGGGTGTAGGCATCCTCACTGCCACCCCTGGCAGCTCAGGCCTCAGGGGCCCTCCGATGGGACGCTGTGCCTAGGGGTGGGGAGGCCACACTGAGGGAGCAGGCACAGGTAGTGTTGGTACTGACTGCTGTGTGTACTGGGGTACCGTGCCCTAGCTGGTCACCCCTCACTGGGGTTTGTCCCCTGGTGGCTGTGATGTGTGCTTCCATGGCTGCCAGCAGCATCCTGCAGCCCCAGCTGGGAGCTGGTGGCTTGGGCAGTGAGGAGCTGCCGTGACCCAGCCCTCAGGGTGCTGGCTTCCCCTTGGAAGGAGAGCCCTCACTCATGCAGCTGGAAAATGCCCTTGCAGCAGGCGGGCCTGGTGTTTTGGGCTGAGTTCCCTTCTGCTCTTAGTCAGAGGCTCTGTTTCTCTGCAGAAATGTCTGAGGAGATCAGCTGCTGCCTGACAGAGGTGGAAAACTGTTTCAAGCTGCTGGTGCCCTTGGACCTGGGCCCAAGCCCCAGTGCATCTGCAGAGGAGGCCTCTCATGCCTCGGGCCCTGGTTGGGCTGCCTTTGGCCGATCTGGTGGCTCTGACCCCTGGGATGAGGAGCAGCCATGCTGCAGCAGAGACCTGCCTGCCTCTGCATATCACTCAGGAGCTGCTGGTAGTGGAGAGGGGTTGCCCCAGATAGCACTGGGGGAACCCTCAGAGGATGAGGAAAGTGACCTGGAGGAGTTTGTGCGGAGCCATGGGCTTGGCTCACACAAGTACACACTGGCTGTGGAGCTGTCCTCAGGTAAGGGGTCCCCCGTGCTACCCGATCCTCCAGCCTCATCCTCCTGGAGTGCTGTGCTGAGCAGAGCTCAGGCCTGCGGGTGGCACCCTAGGTGTTTCCTTCCCAGACATTTCCTCCACGGCTATAGGCGTCTCTGCCTTCTGTAGCCCAAGCAAGTGAGGCTGTGCATGGCCAGGGAACCCTGGGCAGGGTGTTCTGCCTTGCTGCAAGCTTACGAGGGTCCTGCCTCACCTTGGAGGAGAATGTGATGACAAGGTTACTTGCTGTGTTTATACTGACGAGTGTGACTCAGTCACATGTCCCCGCTTTAGGGTTGCATGGCTTCGAGTCACCACCATCTTTGGATGGGCTGACCTGTTGGGAGGTGGTGGAGCAGGCACCCTCCCCATGGTGAAGCTGCTGGATGCCTGCTGTGGGAGCCCTTGGTCCCTAGGCTCTGGGCCATGGCATCAGGAGCGAGGAGGCCAGTTGCCTTCCTGCAGGCAGCCTCACTGTGTGAGTGTATGGCCACTCCTCGGACGCTGTGAGCCGATGGTAGGGAAGCTCCCACAGTAGCCCATGCAAGCTGGAGTCTCTGCCTGAGGAGAGGCCAGGTGGCCCCTGAGGCCCGGCTGAGACCAGGGCCAGCCTGAGTAGTGGGATGGGCACACATCCTCCGGCATGGAAGGTTGTTGCCATGCTCACCCTCTAACGGCAAGGGATGGCCTCAGCCAAGACTGTGGGGTAGGGGGAAGGCAGCCCTGGGGAGGAGCCAGATGCTCCTGTCCAAGGCCCGTGAGGCTCCCTCCCAGGCGACCGGATGGAAGCGGGCAGACACCTCCTGTGTCTCTCGGGTTGCACCAGCCTCTGCTGTGTGGTTGGTCTCGGTCCTCCTGACCCCTCTCCTCCAGACAGCCTGAAGGTGCAGGAGAACGAGGACAACCTCGCTGTCCTCCATGCTGCCCGTGACGTGCTCAAGCTGATCCATAACAAGTTCCTGCCGGCCGTGAGCTCCTGGGTGCAGGTGAGGTAGCCCCTGACAGTTGGTGTCCCGAGGCTGAGAACCTGGGCAGAACAAGGCTGTGAATGTCGGGGCTGCAGGACGAAAGGGGAACGTGCAGAAAGGGCCAGACACAGGGCTCACTATCAGGGCAACCTGGGCCCAGGGTGTGGGCTCCCCCACTCGGGGGGCTCAGTCCCTCCCTCGGAGCCTGATGTGGAGACCAGCTTCCTGGGCTGCGTGGGCCTTTGTGACCTCCTGGCTTTGCAGCGGTTTACCCGAGCTGCAGCCCATGGTGGACTCCTGAAGCGTGCCATTGACCTGAAGACAGAATTGGAGCTCGTGCTGCAGAAGTACAAGGAACTCAACATCGAGGCTGACAGTGGGCAGTGCCAGGTCAGTGTGGGCTGAGGGTGTGGTGGCCTGGGTGTGAGCTTGGTCCTGCACAGGCAGGAGCAGCTGGGGCTCTGGAGGCCTGTTCCTTCCTTACCTGGTGCTGGCGCTTGCCACATTAGGAGCTCCAGACAGCCTCGCCCAGGCAGAGGGGCGCAAAGAGGTGCCCCTGTGGGTGCTGCCTGTGAGTCACTTGCACCATCGGGGATGACAGCCCTGCTACCCCACATGTGGCCAAACACCCTGGGCAGGACAACATCCCCAGGGAACCCGGAAAGGCAGCTGCCCGCTTCAGCCTTGAGTTGGGGCTTTTGGGGGACTGCCAGTCAGTGTCTTCTGGACATCAGGGTCAGCCAGAGCAGAGGCCACTGTGCCCACTGTTGGGGAGACTAGAAGCTGCTGTCAGCTGGACCCTGTGGCACCCCATCCCCAGAAGGGACCAAGGTGTCTGAGGAGAGAACTGGACCTCTGGGCTCGGTGTGGGGAGGTGTGCACCCACCCCCTGTGCGGGACAGCTGGTGATGGCTGCCATAGGCTTGTGGGCGCTGGGCACGCTGTGGCTGCTGTAGGGCAGAAGGTGCCACTGCACCAGGACCAGCACTGAGTCCCCACAGTCTGAGCAGTGCTGGTCCCATGCGGATTTCCTTAGCAGCCCACAGGGAGAGGGGCTGCACTTAGTGCTGTTCCACCTTGGGGGCCGCAGCTGGGGCCCTCAAGCCCAGCTGACCGCCCTTGCGCCTGTGGCTGTTCAGGACTGAGTTCACATGCCGCTTAACCACTCCCTGGGGGCCTTGGCCCAAGCCAAGTGGAGCGTGCTGGCCCTGCCACCCCTACTTTCAAAGGTCACTTTTGGGTGGAAAGAGCACATTTGGAGCCACCCAGAGGCCCAGCCTTGGACCCTGGGAGGGCAACACCCTGTCCAGCACTCAGGGACCCATCTGACATCACCGGGGCAGCCCCAGCTTTGGAGCCCAGGAAGGTCCCTCCTGAGCACGGCTTGCGGATCCCCACCCCTGCCAGCAGAGGGCGGCTTTGCGCCTCCCTTAAACCTGCAAATTCAAGCTCTGTGGAGACTGGGGAGCTTGGGCTATGGCACGATGTACAGGCCGTTTTGTGGGTGCTCCATGGTGCCTTGTGCTTACTGATGCAGAAAATGAGCCTGTGACTTCTGAGCACCGTGCAGAGTGATATCCTAGTGTGGAGGAAGGTGGTTTGCACCGACAGGCAGGTTGGCAGACAGGATGAGGCTTCACAGTGGTTAGGATGGCAGGGCTGGCTCTGGCACCGGAGTCCTGGGTCCCCTTTCTTGGTGCCTTGGGACCAGCCTGTGATGCGGCCTTGTGCTGAGGTGCACTTGATTCCTCCTGTCAGCTAGGCCAGGCCAAGCCCTTGTCCATGGTGGTCACATTGCTAGTGGCCTGGCCATGGCAGCTGGTGCTCCAGGGCACAGCCCCAGGGCTTTGGGGATGGGGCTAGCATCATCTGGTCTTTGCAGGCCAGGGCATCACCAGCCTGTGTGGACCTTCTGGGGCCAGCAGTAGAGCAGGCCTGCATCCTCCTGGCCAGGCCCCAGGCCAGCACCTCAGGCTGCAGCTGGGTCCCCAGAGCACAGCGCACTGAAGCCCTCCTGTGCGGTGGCTCCTGCCCACGGCTCCACCCCACCTGCTGGGACAGTTGCGCACCCAGGGAGACTGAACCGGGCCTTGTGCCACACTCCCTGGATTTCCTCAACAACCTGCACAGGCCCTGCCAGCTACCATGTCCCCCCATAGCATCAACTTCCTGCTGCCACGCCCCAGTGTCAGTCAGCAGGGCTGGGTACACCAGCTGCATGGTTCCCATCGGGGCTAGGCTCTTGCCAAGCTCTTCTAGGACACAGACACAGTGGTGCCAGACTGACCCTGCATGGTGTACAGCCCCAGGCTGGTGCAGTGCCCAAGACCTGCGGTCCCCACAGCCCAGCTGCTCCTGCCGGCCCCACCACAGCCCCGCACACTTCTCTCATACCTCAGAGTGGTGCACATTCAGCTTGGCCTGGCCTCACTTTGGCCTAGCTGTGGGTCATGCGGTGGGGGCAGGGCCTGCCTGTCGCGCTGCCAGGCTCGCAGGCTCTTGCAAGGCCACCGTGCAGGGCACAGGCTGCTGCTGTCCTGAGTGTGCAGGGCTGGCTGAGTGTCACCGTGTCTGGGAAGGAGACAGCACCCTGCTCTGTTGTCACTGGGATGACACCTGCTGGGCCCTTCTCTGAAGACTGATTTAACAAGAGGCAGTGCTCCGAAATCCTTGGGGATTTTGCTTCCTGCTGCTACAGCAGGGAGCTGCCTGCAGATGAGGTGATTGGCGGCTGTGGCAGAGAGTGGCAGTGCCTGGCTCAGGTGAGCGAGTGCCGCTTCCCAGAATAGATGTGGTATCTGCCCATCTCCTCCTGCAGCTCTGCTTGCTCCCCATTGCCTGCAGGGGGCCGAGCTCCATCCGCAGTGGCCTGTGCAGGCCAGGTGGGGCCAGCTAATGAACGGCTGTGCTAATTAGAGCTGTTTTAATTAGATATTATGAACGAAGTGTTCTTTGGTAATTTTCAAATAAAATTTACGGAGGGTTTCAATCACTTCCCTCAGTGTTCCCCCATTTAGCGCGGGATGGGCATCGTTAACTCTGCGTGTAGGACAGGCTGAGCAGGCAGTGCTAATTCAATAATGCGTGATTTAAATATTTATTTTAGAACTTCTAACAAATGTGTAAGAGACCGAAGCACATCCAGTGTTACCAGTTAAAACCAGATGACAGCAGCCCAGACCCTGAATCGCTGGCAAGGGCATTGGGGTGGCCCCTCTGCTTCTGCTGCCATGGGGGACGCACTGCAGGTTGTCACCCCGGTTTCCTTTCTTGTCTGTTGTTGAGGTTCCTATATAATATCGTTTTCCTTTTGACATACATGTTCTGTCTTCAGAAAATACTTAAGCTGGTTTAAATATGTTTAAGTGTTTGTTTTATAGAGTGTCTCTGTGTCGGCTCCGTCGGAGGCCAGCTGAGAATAAATCTGGGCTGGATCGATGTGGAGGGTCATTGGGTAGATTTAGCTTCCACCCGGCTCCGTTACAGGCGAGCTAGAATAACCCAGCACTGCCTCATTTGTTAAACTGATAAAAATCCTTTGAAAACTTTTAAATTGCTTGTCTTTTAATTATGTAGCTCAGATCACCAGTTATTTTGCATTGTGTAATTAACAAAATACTAATTTCCCACCAGCTAGGCCCGGAGGGTATCGTTTCAGGCAGCAGCATTTCCTCTTTCTGGGACCGCAGGCTGCTGTCCTTGTGGCATCTCTGTGCTCATGGTTGGCTCTGTGCTCGTGGTCACGGTGCCAGGTGGAAGCGGTTGTGATGGTGCTGTGTGCAGGTTCTCTCTGCTGGGTGCCTCTTGCCTCTAGAACACCCCCAATGCGCTGCACACCAGCCGGCCCTGCTGTTTTGGGTACTTCCCTGTGCTGCTGTGGGAGCCATGGCTGCTTGGCCTCCTGTAGGTGAAAAGGACAGAAGCAGCACCCCCAGGGAATGAAATGTTGAACCCATCAGGCACATGCAGGGGAAGGCAGGGAAACTAAATCAGCCTCGCCAGGAAGCCTTGTGCCGCAGCAGGGCCGGTAAACAACCTTCCTGGGAGCTGCAGCCCTCTCCATCACGCTGAAGGCCGAGCTGCGCGCCACCACCCCACGTCTCCCGGGGGAGGCTGGGGAGGGCTGCAGGCACCATCCCTCGAGGTCAGGCTGTGAGGACTGGGAGAGCATCACAGGCCTGGCCCAGCCCATGCCAACAGCTGCCACCCTCGTCCCCTGGGCTCTCCTGTCTGTAAGTTTTCGTCTGCATTAGTTAGCGGCACTCCCATGGGTTACCCTTCCAATTCCAGAAGCAGCTGTCTTTACCCCCCACTTTATAGATGAGAAAACTGACTGAGAGACCTGTGTGAGGTTGGCCTCTGCAGCCTGGCAGGAACGCCGCCTGGTGTCATGGCACAGTAGAGCACTCTCTCGCTTCCTGGAGCTAGCCTGCTGCTGGGTACTGGCCACACTTCCCGAGACAACAGGGTGCAGTGGGGCCCTGTCACTTAGGCATAGCTCCCAGAGCAGCCTGGCAGAGCTTCCCTCCTTGCCTGCCCAGGCTTTGTCAGAGCCTGTGGGGGGTCGGAGTTATTAGGCTCGAGATGCCAGTGGCTCTGAGGCGATTACACACTCCATTGGGTGTGATGTCAGTTTGTGTAAGGTTCAGATGACCCCAAGATGACTTGACCTGCTTCCCCGCACCACTGTCACCCCACTCTTTGGGGACAGGTCTTACTTGGAATCCCAGAGTAGGCTGTCTGTCTGGGAGCAGTGCAGACCCAGGCACCTGGCCCGGGTTGCCTGGGCTCCAACCTTCAGTGGTTGGCAGCATGTCCTCCATACCCACCTGGCTGGTGCTGGACACAGACTCCCCATGTGTGATCAGGCCTCTCACCTCACTCCCCAGTGGGCTGGACACGGCTCTTGGGTCCCAACAACCTGCTGTGTTTGCAGGCAGTTCTAGGACTGTGCCTCTCTGCTCTGGGGAGTGTTATCGTGAGATCCGGGGATGAGCGTAGGTTTTATAAAAAGCCATTCCTGAAGATGATGACTTGGCTTGGTGTAATTTTTAGGCCAGTTGGGAGGTGAGTGCGCTCCAGGTGCCCTGCTTGCAGCCCACGTGCCCGCGTGGTCAGTGGCACAGTCACCCCGTCCTTTGAAGGTGCGTCCCTGGCAGCCGGAGATGCACATGAGATATTGGCCTGGCCGGCAATTTGCACGGCCTTCCAGGGAGGGCATTAGCATATAAATAGCAGATGCAATGACGACCATCACAGCTGAGCACGTTTAATTTTTAGTTTATAAGATAGAATGGGTTTTTAAATGCATAGCCATCAAGCCGCTGAAAGACAAATGCAGCTTGGAACTCACTTGTCTGACGAGGCCTTACATCATTTTTTTTTAAAAGGGAAATAGACACACATAAAACTGAACAAAAGTGATTTCCTGGGTGAAAAGTAATTGAGATTGCGCACCCAGTTAATTAGATCGTACAAAATTTATTTAATGGTCCCAGCTGTATCTGCAGGCCGTGGGCTGGGCCGGCGCTCCGCTCCCCGGGCACCACGTTGCATTTCCCTTTCCTTCGCAAATAATTAGCAACCTCACTACCCCTCTTCTGTAAACTGATTGCGTTGTATATTTTAGCCGTTTTATTGCTTGTTTAATTATGATCGTGGAGACTCATTTTTCTAAATCCTTTTAACTGTGGGTGAGAATCAATTTGCATGAATCCAGCAATGTGCCCCCCCCCACGTTGGTGCTGGGGCATCTGCAGTGGCCGCCTGGGGACAGCTCAGGAGGAGGCCTCAAGTGGACCCCCAGGGCTCTGACACATCCCGCCCTGCCGGGTGGCTGGGATGTCACCTGTCGAGGAAGGTACGGGCAAAGGTGCACAGGCAGCCTGCATGCGCTGTGGGACACCTCATCTGGTCCAGCACGGGGACTTGGCAGTGTTTGTTCTGTGCCCAGGTGAGCTTGAGGCAGACTGCTCCTGAGAAATTGCATGAGTCCGACTCCATCTTGAAGACCTTGACCTCAGCCTGATGTCTCTCTGACGGCTGTGAGCCCCTTCCCACGCGCTCATGCGTCCGGCCACCATCCTCAGCCGTCCTGGGGCTCTGTGGCCCTGTGTGCCCCACTTGGGGGCTGGCTTCTGCCTGACCTCATCTGTGATCTTGAGAGCAGGCCGCCACCGCTGTGGCTGGGACCGCTCCTTCGTTACTTGGTACCTTGCAGCTCGACGCAGCCACTCCAAGGACTCCTCCTTCCCCGGGCTGCTGGTCTAGCCTCAAGGACTGTGCTCCACCTGGCTAGTGTTTCCCAAGTGTGTGCGAAGGTGCTGGCTCTGTGGACAACAGCAGTGCTGTGAAGGAGCCAGGCGTCTGGCCAGCTGGCATCGGGTGTCCCTGGGAACTTGCAGCCTCTGTTCACCAGTGGGTACAAAACCTGAGCGAGCTTAACCCCAGTGCTGGCATCAGAGTAAATTCAGTTGCTGGTGCAAGTGGCTCAGTCTCCAAGTAGTTTCATAGTAAATTGTGGAAGTGGGCAGCTGCTGGCCCTGCCTAAGGGAAAGCCCTGGGGTCTTTTTAGAGCAGAGGCCTGCAGGGAGCCTGGGCAGCACCCCCAGAGGGGGAGCAGGCAGCCCCAAGCCTCATGAGGGCTAATTTAGGAACAAAGAGGAACCCAAGACTTCAATTGAATCAGAAATAAATGATTTCAGTTGGGGAGGAAGAGGTATAATTCCTAATAGTTAGCTAAGCAGTTGAATATTTTTTAGGAAATGAAAATTTGATAAAAGTCTCTGGTGAAATTCAAGGGTGTAAGCAATAAGCATAATATTTTATGAAAATGACCCCCATATTTAAAACCTGGCACTATATGTTATGCATTGTAGCACCCAGTCCACATCTACCTTTTAGAAAATTAAAACACATAAATTCTGTTTAGTGTGTGAGCTGCTCTGCGCAAGCCGGGAACCGTAATGCCCTAAAACCTTGGGCTGCTCTCCACCTTTCATAAATTCCTGGGTAGATTCTATACAAAAATAATTTTCAGGTCCGTGGCTCATTGTTATTCAAACGTGATTGATCGTCGTCATTTGCTCAGCTCAGGAGTTAAGTGCCCCTGTCATTTCCAAAGAGTATAATTGGGACGTTTCACAGGTCAGCGGTGGAGACAGGCTTCCCTTTTGATCAGTGTTAGACTGATAACAAAAATTACAGTTTCCGATGATTAATGTCTCCTGTGCATCCCAGATGCACAGCCGTGGGCCGCACCTAAACAAAGTGCATTTGCATCTGATTATGCTCCCAGGCGGGCAGCAGCCTCTGGCTGGGGCACCCGGCCCTGCTCAGCTGGACGAGGCTACCTGGCCTGGGCTCTGGCCATGCGTGTGCAGGGCCCGGCTCTCCCCGGGTGAGCCACAGGCGCCTGTTCTCATCCAGCTGTCACTTGCTTAGTCTTGGCTTCCAGTGGCCATGGGGGACACAGGGCAGCAGCCCCTCCCCGGGTTCCTGCACCCTTGAGGGAGAGCCAAGACCAAATGCCTTTGGCAAAGTTTTTCAATAGTGACACCGCTCGAGTCCCCTGGTTGGTGTTCATATGATAGAGACCCCATGGGGGGTCTCTATCATGGGCTGGATGTGGGTGTCGGAGCCCTGGGATGTGGGGCTTGGCTCCACCCCCCAGTCCATACCTGGCCCCGCTGTACTCTCAGGAAGGCTGAGTCTTGTGGGTGCTGCTCTGGAAGAAAGAGACCCTGACCAAGGGCTCTGTGCGCAGGGTCTGAGGGGTAGGCACTGACTCTGGCTGCTGTGGCCCTGGCATGACAATGTGCTCTGGCCTAGCCATGGCATGACCTACAGCAGCCCTGGGGAGGCCAGGCCCCCTGCCTCAGTGCCACCCGGGGTGAGACCTCTCTTGACACCCGGCTTCTCCTGAGGTCTCCAGGCCTTGGCAGGCAGGCTCTGCAGTGACCCCTGCAGACTGACTGCCAGATTGGGGTCCATGGGGGCCTAAGGATGACCAGCGCAGGGCCAGAGCCTGAGCCGTGGGCCAGGCTACGCGGGCCAGAGGCTCAGCCTCCCTGCCTGTGGCTGTCTTAGGCGCAGGGTCTAGCGTTTTTGTCATTACGTAGGGTAACTTGGGGTGTCTCCACAGGCACGAGTGCCAGGGGATGGGGACGACGAGGATGATGACTTCGTGGAAGTCCCAGAGAAAGAGGGGTACGAGCCTCACATCCCCGACCACCTCCGGGCTGAGTATGGTGAGCTGTGGGCGCGTGGGCAGGGGTGCCTGGGAGGAGGGCCTACTTGGGATCGTGCCTTTGGGTCCGTGACCTGATGCCCAGGGGATGGTGGGGAGGCACCTGGCTTGTCCTTGCTGACTCATGCCCCAGGCTATGTTGCTGACTGCTACTAGCATCGAGCACTGGAGGCTCCTGCTGCCACCCCCATCCTGCAGCCCCCACCTCAGGCCAGGGACTTCGTGAGGGTGGATGGAGGTGTTGGGCCCAGGGTCACCCCAGCCGCAGCCTCCTCCCCAGCCCATTGCTTAGGGCATCAAGAGTGAGCTGTGCAAGTGCTGAGCTCTGGAACCTGCTGACCTGCAGCCAGGAGTGGCTTCCCACTCTTCCAGATGAACCTGAAAGCCATACCTGCACCCCAGGGAGAGGTGTGGCTGAGCAGGGCACCCCTGAGGATGAGGACCCCAGGGCCACCTGCAGGTGGCAGGTGCTTATGTCAGGGGAAGCAAATAAAACAGCCCCCCCTCTTTTGTCACAAAATAGACAAGTCAGTTGGAACTGGAGTCTGAGATGAAATGTAAATTTGTTAGAGGAATTTAGATGATGAGACAACTCGAGTGTGAAGACATGACCCATTAGGGGTGTCATGCCAAATTAGCACGACCAAGCTGCTAACAACCTCCCGTTTCTGCCGCCCCATCTCTCTGCACACCCAAGCCCATAAAGAGCTGGCCACACCGGCTGGCCCCACTCGCCTGACCCAAGGTGCCCAGGGAGGCAGGGCTACTTCCTCCCCACAGAGCTGCCTGCCCCAGCCTGGATCCCGCTTACCCAGCCCACTCTCCCACACCAGGCCAGTTGGGGCCCTCACAGGGTTCCTCAGGCCTTGGGGCTCCTCAGACTTCAGGCCCCTCCAACCCAACCTCCTCCAGCCCAGCACTGGCCTCTCTCCAGGCGTCTTCCGCTTTCTGCCAGGCCTGAGAATCCAGTGGCCAGGGCCTCACTGGACCTGCACACCTGGAAGTGCTGGGTGCTGTGACCTCCCCGCCAGGATGAGCCCATGCTGACCCTCGGCCAGGCGAGTTGTGGCAGGAACAGCCCGCCCAGCCTCTGCCTTCTCTGCAGGGACCTGTGCACCTGATCTTGTGTCCAGTCTTCCCTGACATCCTCCCACCCCATGCCTTGGACCAGCCTGGGCCCTCCCAAGGTCTCCAGGCCTGCACCAACTGTGGTTATGGCTACACCGGGATTTTTTGGGCCAGAGCCCCTGTCCCGTCTGGATGCTTCTAGGTCCTTTGGGCAGAAGTTGGGTCTGACGGGGCGGGGATGGTGGAGTAGTTCTCTACAAACCTCATCCTGCCCCAGCCGTGCAGAGCAGCTCCAGAAGTGAGGGACAGACGGGTGGTCCTGAGCACAGCGGTTTCCTTTTATCATAGCATGAGGGTCCCTCTCTGCTGGTGCTGGGGAGCAGCCCCTGTTGCGGGCACTCACACAGTCCCCAGCTCTGTTCAGGAGACACTGCACAGTCAGCACAGCCTCGCCAGTCACAGCAGTGGGGGCCTGGCCAGTCACCTGCCCCCGTGCTGCGGTACCTGGGGCTTGTACCTTCCAGCCTGCCGAGTCCTCCAGAGCCCAGCTGAGGAGCCCTGCACTCCTGCGCAGGGCTGTGAGCTGCAGGGAAGTCCTGGCCCCAGGGTTCCTGGTGGCCCCAGGGTCAGCACAGCAGCCCATCCGGGCGCAGTGAGTCGATCCTCCGTGCCAGGTGGCCCCAAAAGCCCTACAGTCTGGGCAGGTGGCTGCGGGCTGTGGTGCCCATCCTCCCAGCCTGTCTCGTGACTGTCCTCTCCTCCAGAGCCTGTGACAGGACCTGGATCCCACTGCCTGGCCTGTGGAGGGAGGTAGCAGAGACCCTGGCGGTGTCCTTGTACCAGCTCACATTTCTGGGAAAGGCTGTGACATCTGCCTGTGACCTGGGTGCAGTCCCGCCTATGTGGCCTGGGCAGGTGCTTCCTCTCCTGGTCCCCAGCAGGCCACACCCGTGCCCAGGTCTGGCTGTCTTCACAACCCAGAGCCAAAGCCAGAAGACCCAAAGGAGGGGCCGTGGGACCCAGCTCCAGGGCTGGGCAGGACCAGAGGGGCACGGGTGGGAGAGGACCCTCGGTCCCTGATGAAACCCTCCGCTTTGGAGGCCTCCTAGAAAGTCTGCCAGGGCAAGCGCAGTTCATAATACTAGTTTATATTCTGTCGCTGTTTTTTCAATTAAACGTAGGTGAATCTGAAGTAGTTAGATTTAGTCTAAATCCACACGGCTGAGGAAATCAGCCTCTTTTTCTTTCTCATTTCTTTCTCTGAATTTTCACAGAGGGGCTTTTATCTTCCCCTTAATCCTACCATTTCTGTCAGGACATAATCTCTTTCTCAAATTTACATTTTAATTACAAGGCCAGCTGAACGAGGTGGAATCAATAATGTCAGGCTCGGCAGCCTAACTTTGTGTGGAGCCCCAGCCTCTCCATTTCCTGCTATCGATTTATCTCCCGCACTGTCTGCTTTAGTGCTTCAGGCAAATAGGTGCCACTTGGTCAATTTAAACAAAAAGGGGCATTTGGACATTTTTATGATTCTAGAAGCAACCACGGGAGTGCACTGGGGGAAGATACTGTACCTGGATCAGGTGCTACAGGCCGTGCTGGATGGCCGGGACACCCTGCTTCCTTTGCGGGCTTCGGCCTCAGCCTGCAGAGGGCTCTCTGCTTTTGGGGCTTACTGTGAAAGTCTGTCAGCAAGATTGATTTTCCAGACAGTGTGAAAATGGTGGTGTGCTGGGTGCCCCGAGTGTTTACCCTGCTCTAACACGCTTACCCATCTTCTTAATGGTTTAAAACAACAAATCAATGAAAAATATATTTCATTCTTGTAACTCTCAGGAATTCTCATATTGATCTCTGGCTGCGATTGTATCTATCTAAATGTCACATTGTTCACTTATCAGTTTTGCCTCCGCAGCTGTGTGTGCATGTGCATGTGTGTGTGTGGCTGGTGGCTGGTGCCCTGCCAGCAGGGCATTTCCAAGTTTTCATGGGCCAGACTGGGGACATTATTTGGAACAGCCCCATGTGGGGGTTATCTGACGTCTGTGCTGCACACCCAGCCTGGGGCCCTGGGGCTTCGGTAACTTTGAGCCGTTACTTTTGCATGGCCTTTTCCATGTCCTCTGCTTTCAGAGGGGCCAGCACATTTCCACAAGGCCTGGACCGGAAGTATTCTTGGCTCTGTAGGCCACATGAGGTCTCTGTCCTGTTCCTCAGCTGAGAAGCAGTCTCTGACAGTGTAAGCAGAGTGGCTTTCCTCCTGAGGACGGGACCACCAGGGTATCCTGAAGGGCAGCTGGCGCTTTGTGTCCTGTCAGGCAGACCCAGGCAGCAGCGCCCCTGCCTGGGGGTCGATGTCCCTCCCAGAGCAGCACCCCCTACTGAGGCCAAGCAGAGTCCGTCACCACCTCGGCCAGTGGGCATCGTGTCCTGTGCCATGAGCTACATGGGTGACATGCATGTCTGTCCACATTTCTAGCCTTCACGTGCTTCTTCCTTTATGTACCACCTTCACTCAAAGCCCGGACTTCTTGTAATGTAAAACCTAGACTTTCTGACATGCATGTTTCCCCCGCTGTCCTCCTGCATCTCTGACCCCTGGCTGGCATCTGCTCAGCCCTGCCGGCCACCTCGGGGCTGGACATGTGCTCGGTGCTTGCTGCTCCCTCAGACCCCCTGTGCTTCTGCCCACCACACTTCCTCTTTGATTTGCTGTCTCCGCTCTTACTGTTGGTTTTCCTCCGCTTCCTCTACCTTTCGTTTGCTAGAACAGCTTTGGTCCTGCTAGTTTTCCCACGCTGGTTGTTCCTGGTTTCTCAGGTTTACATATGGATTTGTCATTCGTGTTTTTCTTGTGTAGTCTCTGCAGGGCTATAGACTAAGCCCAAAGCCTCATGCAAGCTGAGCACAGTTTCCCGCTAAGCCAGACCCCAGCCGCTCATTCACTTAGTTTTTATCGTTCCTCAGTCTCACCTATTCCCTTGTGCGCAGCACTGACTGGGTACCTTGCGTGTGTTTGAACCTGCAGCTGCTCTTTTCTCTGTGTGCTCGGTTCCCCAGAGTGTTGCCCCCTGGTTTTCACTCAGGCTCCGCTGGCACCCAATGAGCCCTCTGGTTGCAGAATTTGTTGCAGCCGTTTTTCCCCACTCCAGGAATCCAGACTTGAGGATGCTAATCCCTGGGCATCCACCGCCACACCTCCAACCCTCAGGTGTGGTGCTGCTTACGCGGCTGCGGCCGTCCTCTGCCTTCTGTCGTCCAGCGAGTAGTCTCCCCTGCCCTTTTCCTGCCTTTGTCCTCAGTAGAGGACATGTGCCGCGTGCCCGTGCTGCCTCCATGCCCTGTGCGCATCCTGTGAACGTGGAGTGTGTTATTTTCTGCCTGGCCTGGAAAACGTTGCTCATTGGTCTTTGTTCTTCCCTGGCTTCATACTCATGGAAGCCTGAGCCTCCCTGCCAGTCCATGTTCTACCCTCAGCTGGCCGGTGGGCCCCGGGGAGGAGGGGCTGTGGTCCAGGCTGCCTGCCCATAGAACAACAAGTCTTAATCCAGACTCTCTGGCACCTGCCCTGCCACCTAACAGGAGCCTGCGAAGATTGGGGTGGGCCCTGCAGATGCCAGCCTGAGAGCCGGGCCAGGTCCTGCTTGACCCTGGTAGGGATGGGACAGGGTGGGACAGACCAGGCATGGAGGGGGCTTCTGTCCGTGTCTTCCTTGGGCACATGAAGTCAGCATCCTCCACCACAACCTGTGGGGAGGTTGGTGAAGCTCTCGGACTGTGGCCTCATCCAGCCGGTGGCAGTGTGAGCACCTATAGTGATGCCCCTCCTGGTTGGACCGGGGCATCTGCCCAGCAGCTGCAGGGAGCCGACTCTAGGCCCAGGGCCAGGCCAGCTCCAGCTGCCCCTGGCACCTTTCAGAGGCTGCAACTAAGCCAGGGATGCCCTGGGCCAGGCTTGGGATGTAGATCTCAGGGCGAGAGATGGCTGGGAACAGAGCCGGAGGCACTGTCTCCCTCCGCTCCTCACTCCAGACTCAGCCAGAGTGTCAGTGTGCTCCTGGGTGGCCTGTGTCTACACCAGGGGTGGCTTCACCTTGGGTCCTCCCAGGGGGCGTCTGTGGGCTAGGGCTAACCAACTGTAGGCCTTGCTACACAGGCCAGGGTAGATGCCTGTCTGGGCCCCTGCCCTGCATCCATGGCATCCCACTTAATGTGGCCGTTGCCCAAGAAGTGGCAGTGATGGGGTTGCCTCACAGGCTATCAGAGGATGACATGCATTCATACATGCAGGGAGCATCCCCCGGGCAGACCCAGGCCGTGAGGGGCAGCAGCACAGAGCTTGGATCTCCTCGTTCGCGTGGAGGTCAGGTGGACATGTGTCTTGTTTCAGGGCTGGAGCCGAAGGCCCCGCCAAAGACCCTGGAGCAAGATGCAGCGGCATGGGGTGCTCAGGCGAGGAGGACATGGAGGGAGGAGGAGGCATCGGACCCCACCTCTGCTGCTGCTCAGCTATGTCGGCTGCAGGACCGCCTAGCCCCTGCCCCACCCTCTGTTCCCAGGTGACTCCAGGGGTCCTTGTTGCTGGTCCAGAGCATGGCCAGCCTGGGTCGGCTCTAGGCCCCCTGGTCCCTGTGTTGGCCTATGGTGGGCACACAGCCCTGGCCGGGTGGCACTGGCTGACATCTGTCCAGGCAGGGGCACTGGACACATGCCTCAAAGTGTCTGAGCATCAGCCAGGGTGCAGTGGCTGCCAGTCACCTCTCGAGAGACCCCATTGCTGGGCTGCTGCTTGGGTTTGGAGCTGGGCCAGGCAGCCCCCAGGGAGGCAGGGGCTGTGGTCTGAGCCGTTGTTGAGCCAGGGCGGAGTGAAGCCTGGGCCCCTGTGGCTGAGGCCATGGCTGCTTCCTGCTACCCTGCAGCTCTGGGCTCACAGCCGGGGTGGGAGGGAGTGGTCGTCATCATATTTTACCCCACTCCAGGGCTCCACTGGGGCCCGAAGAGGCCCAGAAGCTGGCAGCAGAGCGGGCCCGGGCGCCTGTCGTGCCTTTTGGCGTGGACCTGTGCTATTGGGGCCAGGAGCAGCAGGTGGCTGGGCGGATCTTCAAGTGAGTGAGAGCATGCTGTCCCTGGGGCTCAGCAGGCCCAGTCGGGTGCCCGGGCTTCCTGCACCCTGCTGCTGCTCCTTTGGGGCAGGTCGGCCCTTGTACAGCATGAGGGAATAGCCACGGAGCCCTGACCTGGCAAGGGGCTCTGCAGTGGGGACCAGATAGTCACGGCTGCACGGAGCTCAGCCTCCTGCTGTCCCAGGAGGCTCCCTGCCTGGCCAGCAGAGGCCCTGGTCCAAGCCCGCGGCCAGGCTCCAATAGCAGGCAACTTACTGCAGGAGCAGGAGCCTGACGGGCCCAGCTGTGCCCACCTGCGTCAGTGGTAGTGAACCTTTCAGAGCTAATACATACAGTTTGCTGAGCATGTGTGCCATAGGTTCACCACCACGGACCTATACCATGGCCAGAGGCAGCACTAGCATCTGAGCCGCGTGTATAGCTGATGGGTGGGAGGACAAGGCGAATGTCTCCCTGCTCAGGGTCTTGCTACCTTGAGGGTGCCCGGGAATTTGGCCTGGCGCCCGGGGCAGCCCAGACGAGACCAGGAGTCCTGTGTTCTCACCATGTGGCCTTCTCTAGTTTTAGGGTAGTGGGTGCAGCTGCATCCTGGCCTCACAGCAGGACGAGTGGTAGAGGGTGGCTGAGCTATCAGCTTGGGGCCTGTCCTGCCATGTTGCTGTGGATCTGCTTCTCTGGAGACACCCCAGCACAGGGCAGGTGGGGTACTCAGCCATCGTCAGGGACCTGGAGCCCTGAGATCCATCCCTCCACACATGACCACTGGGCGCCCAGGCTGGCACTTGGCCAGAGCCACCAGTAACTGCCAGCCTGGGAGGAGGGACACTGGACAAGTGTGGCCACTGCCCCAGCCCACCCATTACCCGTGGACCTGGAGGTGGATACTTGACCACAGCTTTCCCTGAGGCCCTGTGCCATCAGACATCAGGCCTAGGCAGTGCTGAAGCCTTGCCAAAGAGGCCTGCACCGTACTCCGTTGCAAAGGGAAAGCTGGCCTCACGTGCGTCCCTGTCACCTACCTGCTGCAGCCATGGCCTGTGCTCCCTGGGAAGCAGCTGCCGTTCTGCGCCTCACTGCACCGGGGTGGCTGGGGTGGTTGAGTAACAGCAGGCCCCAGAGTGGCCCTGGTGCTGCAGGGAACCAAGGCGGGGCCGACCCCGGTCCTGAGTGTCCACAGCAGCTGGTCATCTGCATCTGGGCTCCTCCTGGGGTCCACTGTGTGCCTGTCACACGGAGCGGCACAGCAGGCTGGGGATAGGGGCCAGATGGGCTCGACTGTCCTCAGCAGCCATCCAGGCTTCAGAGGTAGATGGTGGCTACTCCGGCAGGGCTTGGCCTGGGCCTTCAGCCTGTGGAGGGTGTGGTCGGGGGCTTGCCTGGTCTTGTAGCTGGTTCACGTGGTATCTGGGTTTGGGCCACCACGAGGATGCTGTCTGCAGGCAGGGGGCAGCCACTTTGGTCCAGGCCCTGCAAGGTGCCCTGTGGGTCTGGCTGTTCTGCAGAGCTGACTCTGAGCACCGCTTCTGGAAGCCCAGCGAGGTGGAGGAGGAGGTGGACAATGCGGATGTCTGTGCACTGCTCCGGAGCCGCCGCATCACCTTTGCAGGGAAGTTCGAGCCTGTGCAGCACCGCTGCCGAGCGCCGAGGCCCGATGGCCGGCTCTGTGAGCGCCAGGACCGGCTGAAGGTGAGGCTGTGGGTGGGGCCAGCCATGATGATACAACTGCCGGGAGCAGGCACCATGGTGTGGAGGAGCCCCTGGGGCACGGTCTTCCCTAGAGGTCAGGACCTGCTCAACCATGGTCATCAGAGCCATGTCTGGGGCTTCCTGCCTGGCCCTGCAGTTGACACGGGCATCCTCTGGGCATCCATGAAGGGCTGGGTGATTGAGAACCAGGAAGCTGAGGTGCCCAGCAGGCTCTCCCTGGGCAGGAGGTAGCAGGGCGAGGGAAGTCACTGCAGACAGGTGGACTGGAGGCCCAGGACGCTATATTTTTTATTTTTATTTTCCAGTCCTGGGAGTTGAACCCAGGGCTCTCCCACTGAGTCCCCTCCCCAGCCTTTTTTATTTTTTATTTTGAGGCAGTCTTACTAAGTTACTAAATTTCCCAGACTAGACTCGGTCTTGCCATCCTCCTACCTCAACCTCCCAGAGTACAGGGATTGTGAGTGTATGCCACCAGGGCTAAAAGGCATTGCTGCCCTTGCTGCCAGATAAGGAGGAGGATGACAGCCCCCCACCGTGCAGCTCCCAGGACCCCCTCTGAGAGGAACATGTCCTGCCATCGGCCCCTCTGTGCTTGTTCTGCAGTGCCCTTTCCATGGAAAGATCATCCCCAGGGACGACGCGGGACAGCCTCTTGACCCGGAGGACAGGGCCCGAGAGCAGCAGCAGCGGCATCAGCCAACACGCCCAGGTAGCTCGGGTGGGGCACAGCCCTAACTCTGCCGCTTGGCCACCCAGCAGCAGTGAGCCCGTAGCCATCTGACCAAGGGGCACTGAGGACCCAGGGGTAGGCAGGGAGCTTCGGACGGATGTGGATACACCCACTTCAGAAGCCCACTTAGTGTGGCCAGGGTGGATTCTCCTGCCCTCGGCCCCCCATGGTGTCCTGCAGGAGCCTGGCAGCAAGAATGGGTGGCGCCCTGCTGGCCACCCAGCCACAGGGGCCCTACACAGCAGGGCCTGTGGCGAGTGACCTCCCTCCACAGGCCCCAGCCAGGCCCAGGCTGTGTTCCCGCGTAGTTCTGACCCCTCCTGCTGTCTCCTGGGCTGGCCAGGCCTGGGCCAGGGTCTGTCTGGCCTGGCCTAGGGGAGGGCACCCTTGTGCAGGCCCCTTTGTGGATTCTCACTCTTGAGACTTAGCTGCCCAGAGATGGTGCCTGGGCCTGGGCGGCGGGAGGGCCTGACCTGTTAATCTCCGGGGTGAGCCCTTCCCTGGTGGCTCACACTCGGGAGCAAATTAAGTGCCTATTTTTGTGTCAGCCCTGAAGAGTATCTGGTTTTCCAGCCCTCGGTGGCTTGTTAACAAACAGGTATCAGGCTGCGGGCCTGAGCCGCTGGCCAGTCAGATGTGAAATAGCGTCTCTTTACTAACTGCAGTATTGATCCCGCCTCCCTCGCACACGGGGCAATTTTCTTTTCCCTGGCGCTAACCTCGGTGACAATGCACGCAGCGCTCCAGGGCCGTCGGCGCCCAGGAAGGCCATGCGGCCCACGTCTATTGATTTTCTTCAAAGGCTTTTAAATTGCTCCTTCATTTTCCTGAGGTGCCCATTCCATCTCCACTGGAGGCCGGCGTTTTTTCGTTGTGTTTAAACAATTGCTCCATTCACTGGGTTCCTAAACTGTGACGCCTTCTTATTACTGGGAGATAAACTGTTTAGACAGTTTTCCTTAATCTTGGATTAATCGTCCCTGTATCTGAGTTGTGCAGCCCCGAGTTCCTTCACTTCAAAAAATCAGCTGGGGGAGGCTGTGCCATCTGTCTGTATGGGGTGCCCTCGGCCAGGCTTTGCCGGCACCCTGTCCTCTGCTTCTACCCTCTGCCAGCATGTAGGGTTCCACTGGCACTGTTGAGTGTGCCTGTCGCCCCTGTCTTTGAGCCAGGCTCACCTGGGGCAGGGCCTGTGGGGGGTCACTTTGCTGTCACGTGCCTGACCTGGGGTAAGCAGACCAGCGAGAAAACAGGGTGCCGCTGCTTGGAACCTGGGCCCTGAGGGTGCTGGCCCCCTGTGCTGGTGTGGCCATCAGCCTGCAGTGCAGTCTGGCCTGCACCAGGAGTGGCCTCCGGGCCCTGCCTCCTCTCTGGCCTATCTGGGCTGTGGGGGTCTAGGGGCCCTACAGGATATGGGACCTGTATCCCTGCTCACGTGGACCTTCTTACCAGCCACCCGTGGCAGCCCCAGCCCCTCCGGTGGGACGAAGCCCTTGCAGTGTCCCCTGGGGTAGAGGGCTCAGGTTAGTGCCGGTGTTTTCTGAAGGCCTGGGTTTTGTTCAGACTGGCAGGACCCTGACTTCATGCAGGACGTTGAGGCGGCCACAGGGGCAGACCTTGGCTCAGCCCGGTACCGCGGGAAGGGCAAGGGGAAGAGGAGGAAGTATCCGAAGCTCACGGATCTACAGGCGCAGGCCAGCACCTCCAGGGCCCGCCTCAAGAAAAAGGTCTTCGCCAAGTAAGGGCTGCTGCTGTGCCCCTCCTGTGCCTGGGGCTGCGGGCATCTCCCCAGGGACCCACGGATCCCATGAGAGAAGGGGGCGAGAACTGCTCTGGACACCCTGTCTGTCTGCTGGGGTTGCCACCTTTGTCTTCTTCTGGTGGCCAAGGCAGGCAGGTGGGGTGAGCGTGCACTTCGTCCGTGTCCTGCCTGCCTCACTGTCTCCATGGTGACCTCCAGGAGGGTTGTCACTGTACACATCACCCCACTGCCACCTGTGGTGTGGGTACAGTGTTCATACCCGGCCTGGTCAGCTGCTCTCAGGCCAGTGCATGTGCCCACCGTTTTTGCTGTCCTTAGAGCTTATAAGGCTGCCACCACCTGCCAAGGTGAATGCCAAAGGCCTATGATGCCTGGGGGGGGGCACCTGCTGCCTGGTGGTGTTGCCAGCCCAGCCCTGGCGGCCTGTGGGGCAGCGGCTTGTCACGTCCTCCTGTGCTCTCCTGGGGACAGAAGGCCTATGGCAGGAGCAAGGCCAGGAGCTGGCACAGCACAACAGCCTGGAGCGTTGTACAGAAGGCTTGATGGCCCCAGGCTGGCCCCGGCCCCATGCCTCCCAGCTGTGGCTGCTGCACAGGATGGGGACCTGGTGGCTGCCAGGTCCTAGGCTGGGGAGACGTGGCCCAGGGCCACTTCCCAGGCAGGACGGCCCCGAGCCTGGCCAGAGCCCTGAGCAGCCCTGCTTTGCACTCCCCACAGGGCGGCCGTGCGGAGGGTGGTTGCTGCCATGAACCGGATGGACCAGAAAAAGCACGAGAAGTTCACCAACCAGTTCAACTATGCACTGAGCTAGTGCTGACCAGCGCCGCCTCTGTGCACACGCAAGGATGGTGCTGTGGGGCCTGGGCAGGGACCACGCTGTTTCCCATTCAGTTGTGCCCAGGGCAGGGGGCAAGGGCAGCAGCCTGAGCATTGTGACCTGTTCAGAACCAGGGATGAACTTGAACCCAGCCTGCTGTCTCCCCAAGAAGGCATGCTGGGGGCTGCGCCCGCACTACCATGCACAGGCCACCCCCTCCCCTGGGTGCAGAGCACTGAGCTCCCTCTGGTTGTCAGTGGCCACCATCACTAACTGGCGGTCACCATCAGACTGGCACAGGGCCTTGCGCATGCGGCAGGCCCAGGTCTTCTTCCCAGAGGATGCCCCGCCCCCAGCCCACAGTGCCTGCTCCGGGCAGTCCCAGCGGGCGAGCAGGTTCCAAGGTGCAGCCTGTCGTCTCTGGCTCCCCCTCACTTCCATGCTGTCACGCATGTCACTGCCGGGGGCGTCCCAGTGTCTTGTGCCCCACATTCTGCCCTGAGTCTCTGACCCGGGCTGTTCCCCCCCGGGGCCCACGAGCAGTGCCGTGCAGTGTGCTGTCGCCGTGTGGAAGTGCATTCTGTGCCTTTGGGACAGGCTGCTGCCTGGCATAGTGAGGGCCACACTGTCTTCCTAGGTGGCCACAGCCCTGTGCCTTGCAGCCACAACACCCGTTCCCGACGTTCCTGCCAGCGCAGTCCTCCCTCCAATTTAACAATCTTAGTGGATAGGGAGCGTTATTTTTATTTTCTTTCCTGTACTGCAGATGAAATACATGGCCTTTGCACTGAACTAAATAACCCGCCTCTTAAAATGTTTTATTTTGAGACAGGGTCTTGCTAAGTCACTGTGTTAGCCAGGCTGGGCTTGAACTTACAGTCCTCCTGCCTCAGCCTTCTGAGTAGCTGGGGTGGTGGGCATGGACCCCAGCTATCTCCTCTTTTCAATTTGATTTTTCTGGCGAGTAACGCTGGATATTTTTCATGTGCTCACAGACCATTTGTTCATCTTCTTGGGAGAAGTATCTCTTTGGGTCTCCTCAGTGAATGGGGCTGTTTGTCCTGTGTGCAGGAGTGTGTGGATGTCGGAGCACTGGCCTCTTACGGGAGTCACTCGTCTTGTCGCTCCTTGCCTGCCTCTTCCCCTTTTAATAGTGCCCTTTAGAGCACAAATACTGTGCGTTTTTATGGAGTCAGATTTATCTAGTTTTTTCTTCTGTTACTAATGTTTTTGGTGCTGTGTCTGAGAAACCAACACAGAACTTCCGGTCACAGAGTGTCACTGCTGTTTTATTCGGAAGTTTTGTGGTTGTAGCTCTTCATATGTGTGTGAGGTGGGCCCTGCCCACCCGAGTGCGGCTGGCTGGTTGTCACAGAACCACATGCTGAAGGCTTAACCTTCCTCACTGACCCCACTGAGCACCCTGTTGATAATCAGGTGGCCCTAAGTGTGGACCCAGGGCTTCTGGACTCTGACTTTTGGTCTTTGACCTGCACGCCCTGCATTAGTATTGCATGCTGGATTGTTTGAGCTACCTAAGTTTTGGATTTGGTGAGTGTGAATCTTCCAGCTGTATTATTTCAGGATGGTTTGGGTTTCTGGGTTCTTTGCATCTCCAAATGAATTTTAAGGTCAGTTTATCAATTTTCGCAAAAAAAAAAAAAAAAAAAAGCTGGAATTTTGATAGAGGTGGCATAGATGTGGAGACAACTTCAAGGTAGCAGCCACCCTAACGTGAGGTCTCTGACCACGAACTTCTGGTGTCCATGTACTTGAATGGTCCTTGACAGTGGTGTATAGTTCTCAGTGTGTGGATCTCCGCTTAACTTTGAAAATTTACTCCTGAGTGCTTTATCCTTCTGGCTCCTGCCGAGGAACATGGAGTGTTGTGTGTGGTTTTCTCGCATCTGGCTTTGGTGTCGGCGTCCTACGGCCACAGAATGAGCTGGGTGTGTCCCTGCCTCTCCTGGGTCTGGAGCGGTGCATCAGGCTGTTGTTCATTATTTCAGGTGGGGGAGTGAACATGGGAAGCATCTGGCCCCAGCCGATCCTTGTGAGACTTGTCCTTGTGAGACTAAATACCCGATGCCCAGAGCTAAAGGAGTGAAGTCTATTTGGTTCACAGTCTGGGGAGGTTTAGTCCATACTCGGCTGGCTCCTAGGCCAGGTGGCATGGCAGACAGGAATGGGCGAGGAGAAACAGTTCATTGTGGGCAGAAGGCAGCAAAGCAGCTGGTCAGCTGCAGCTCTTTCTGTCCGTGATGTCTTGTCGAGGCTACTGAGGGCAGACAGCACTCACACCCTTAATCCTAGCATTGCACCATATCAATCCCAGCGTCACACGCTCTAGACCCAGCCAGCTCCGAAGAAGCCCCCCCCACGACCACGTGAGGCTTGGGGGCGTCCAGACACAGCCACCGCAGTGACTAAGTCCCTGTCTGTGGGTGGCTGCCAGCCGCAGTCTGCGGGCTGCTCAGCTTCTGTTTCTTGAATAAGTTCAGCGGTTTGTAGAAGCTCGTCCGTCCCTTCTTAGGCTGGTCATAGAACTTTCTGATTTTAGTCCTTTTAGCATTCCCTCCCATTCTCTCCTTCCCTCTGTCCCCTTTCTGCTTGGTCATCTAAAGATTTATAATTTTGTTGATATATTCAAAGAAATATCTTTTGGTTTTGATGGTTCTATATTATTTTTCTATTCTTTATTTCATTGATTTCCATTACTCGTTTCCTTTGGGTTACTTTGGGTTTAGTTTTCTCTATTCTTTTTTGATAAAGTGGAAGATTAGGGGCTGGGGATTTAGCTCAGCGGCAAAAGCGCCTGCCTGGCAAGCGCAAGGTCGTGAGTTCGGTTCCCGGTACCGGAGAAAAACCAAAAAA